AATAATTATATGACATATTTTAATTATGACGAGTTTACAAATAAACAAGAATTCGAAAATAGTATCAGTTCGGCAAATTGGAATATTATACAAAATAATTTATTAATTAATATAACAGATTCGGATGACATTGAAAATATTATTGATAAATTGATAGATCATTTAATCAAATTACATGATGAATTTGGTTATGGTTTGGCAGGAGTAAAACAAATTATTGAACAAAATATTCAATATATCAATCAACCTTTACTAGACAACATTCTTGATTGGCTTATTAAAAATCAAATATCATCAAAATATATTTTCTTTCATGGTTTTCTTTATTTTAATGGAATTATTGTAAAGAGAAATGAAGATAAAGCATTTGCTTTATTTTCAAAAGCATCAAAAAATAATTATTTTATGGCTCAAGTTTATTTAGGTAAACTTTATAAGGTTCCTAAAAAAGCCTTTTATTGGTATCAAAAATCGGCAGAAAATGGAAATAAACTTGCACAATTTTATTTGGGTTTATGTTATGAAAATGAAAAAGAAAAAGGAATTGATCAAGATTTAGAAAAATCATATTATTGGTACGAAAAAGCAGCAATGAATGGAAATAAATTCGCACAATTAAATTTAGGATATTTTTATGAAAATGGTAGAGGAACGCAAAAAAATATGAAAAAGGCAATTGAATGGTATGAAAAATCAGCTAAACAAGAATATGGTAACGCACAATGTCGTTTAGGATATTTATACGAAAATGGTGAAGGAATTGATCAAGATTTAGAAAAGGCCATTGATTTGTATAAAAAAGCAGCTGAGAATGGATATGTCGCCGCGTATCATTGTTTGGGTAAATGTTATCAAGATGGAATTGGTATTGAAAAAAATGAAGTTAAAGCATTTGAACATTATAAAAAATCAGTTGAAAAAGGTTATTTAAATGGATTATATAATCTTGGATACTGTTATGAGAGTGGAATTGGAACCGAAATTGATAAAGAAAAGGCGGTTGAATTATATAAAGATGCTGCTAAAGGAGGAAATAGAGATGCACAAAGAAGACTAGAAATTATTAACTCATAATTTACATTCCTTAATCATTCGAAAAACAATAAACATTTGAACATTCTATTGTTTTAATTATTTTTTTTTTTTATTTTATAGAATTTTTAGATATTTTGCATAATATAACATTTTTTCTAGATTTTCATCATTATACTTAACAAAGTATAATATCATTAAATTATAATTAATATCATAGATTTAATAAATATAACTTAAAGTCATCTTTGCGAAGCAAATCTTTCATGTATCACGTTATATAGTGATATTACTGATATAGTGATGCAATTCAAGATTGCTTTTAGTTTATCCGGATAACGGGTTCTATCCGGATCGAAAGTAGATAGTGAATAAAATTCAGAAAAAGCTCCTAAAAAAAAGAGAGAAAAAACACAATAATAATATTTTCAAACAAAAAAAAAAAGACATACCGAAGTCCAGTGTTTCTAAAAAAAGAGTGTGATAATAACGTTGTCAGATAAAAAAAAGACGCGAAATAACAAAAGACAAGGAATTCTTACCTTCCCTACTTGCGATTTCAAAGATCTAATCTCATTTTTTGAATTTTTTTTTTTTTGATTAATAAATACAGTTTACTGTTATGTTGTCAATCAGACGGGCGGTCGAGTTTCAAAGGGTATACCAACATGACATCATCTTTCAATTAAATAATTACAGAAATAAGAAAAATTGACTTTCAAATAAAACTAGTATAGTCTTTAAAATAATTCTAGATTTGAGCAAGACCATATTGTATTCTGATATCAAATATACTACTGAAGTACTGAGAAAGATGATCTACCAATTGAATGTTTTTTTTACTTCAAATCACCGGGACCGGGGCCCGGGGGTGATCATCACCGTTGGCCAGAATTATCAAATTTTACCGGCACTATATTTTTTAATGCTGGTCGATCATCTTAATTTCAGTCACTGGTTGATTATCACCCCCAGAAAAATTCTTTAAAGATTCTCATTATTATAAAAATTCTTAGTCTGTAATTTAAATAATTATTTTCGCAATATATCTTATCAATAAATTACTATTTATCATATTTTTTGATTTTAAATGTAAAGTTCCAAAAATTTGAGCGAAGCTTAAATATTATAAGTCAAATTTATCCATTCAAAATATTCTATTAGCCGCACGCATTTCTTCAGGGCTGGAATTATGATAATTTCGGTCAAAAAGGCAATGGCTTCCCCTGAAATTATCTAAAAAAGGAAAGACCGTCATGATATTTTACCTGTCTGGTTTATCTCAAATAGATTAAAGGACTCATTGATAATAATATAATTACGTATGCCATGATGTTCAGAAACGGATAACTATTTAAATAGGAAGATTTAACACAATGGATTGTGAGATTAGAGTACTTATGCGTATAATGATTTTCATGTGGAAATGCATTAAGAACGAAAACAAGAGAAACAAATCAATACTAACAGATATTGGTATTAAAAAAACAACCATCAAAACTTACTTCATTCAATAAATATATTCACAAGTTTGAATCATTAAACTATTGATTCGTTGAGGTCTCACACTGAATAAAATTTACTTTCGAAATATTTTTTTTTTTTTTTTAGTAACACATTTCTTTACTATATTTATCGTAGCATCTACAATAAATAAGGTCAGAAAATACATAGTACTAACTTAACCAAATATGGAAAGAATTATTTTCGAAATATTACAATATACCGATAAAAATGTGACGTAAATTTGTTAATTTCACGCTAGTATTATTAAAAAAGTTGAATTTTTATTAGCAACATAAGCGTCTTTAGCCGCAGTTTTTTAATCTGAATGGCCAGGCACTACTAACGTTAACTATCTAGTTAACATAAACACGTACCTTTTCCCATGATTTGCTTTACAACTATCAAGGATTCAAGGTATTCCTTTGCTAGGGATCAGGTTGAGCGAGTTGAATCAGTTCGTTCTATTCGGTTTGGTAATCAGTTCCAAATCGGGTTTGATAAATTTTGGTGCGTACTAACTCGAATCTGGAAATCTGAACTGAAGTGACAAGAACCGAACCGGGTTTTCGGTTTAACTCTGCTCGACTCAGTTTATTAATAGTATCAGGGTTCACACTCTCTATTCTGATTACATACACTGATACACACGATATAACAAAACTTTTCAAAAAGCTTTTATGTTATAGCACATTTTCATTAGTCAGTTACGCGGCGTGATAGATCATCACTTTGTCTCGTAGTAAAAGATCTTCCATCCACCTAATTAGTATGTGAAAGTTCTTTAAAAGATAAATAATACAAATATGAAATTACATATCCTTAAATTATTTCACATAATTGAGAAATACTGTAACAGATAAGTTACGCAAAATCATATAAAAATGGAATTTTTAAGACAACATTTTTCTTGATATTTTCATAGAAAATGTGTAATTACTGAAATAGTACAATTATAACTTAGAGTTCATCATATTACGATTTAAGCAATACATAATTAAAAGACATCCACTTTTCCCCTTTATTAGCTTTGCCCTCCTCTTTCCTTTCTCATCCTTTCTCGCTCTTCTTTTCTTTCATTTTTTGTTATGGTAAATGTAAGGTATAAAATAGTAGGTACGACCAATTCCACGTTAAAAAACCGTTAAAATTTAAAACAATACTTAACCAAATTTTTTGAGTAGAGAAACTTGTGCTTATTGCTCGGTCGTATGTATGTACATAGTACGTATTGTATATATATTAATTTTGATTTTACGTAAATAATTTCTTTCTTGTTCTGATGCACTTGTTGCAAAAGTAGTAGTATCTGGGGCCGAACATAACTAAAAAAAACACAGATTATATATAATAAAAGTGAACGTCTTTACCCATTTTTTTGTTCTTAACAACCCAAATATTATTTATTTCAACCTATTAATTATAAACTAGTTTTGTTTACCTGAACGAGCTTGCCACCTTTACTGGTCTACGTGGTGTTCAGGAGAAACAGTTGTAGGTTAATTCACCATACATCTGGCCATTAGCAAGCATGCAGGTCAGAAGCGTGACCGTTGCTATCTCTAGTTTTAATTAAAGCTCCGCATGAGCCGGTTCGAGCCGAGCCATAAGGTAGCTTGGCTCGAGCCGAACGATTTTATAGAATTTGCGAAATTATCAGCTGATGATCACGTGCGCAAATATCATTTTTGTTACGGAAAAAGAAAGATATGGTAAAAAAATTATCATAATATAAAATATTGATATAACTATGAGTAATAATGAAAAATATAGAAAGATTATATAAAATCAAAATTTTAAAAACGATATAGTTCTGTCTTTTATCAGTTTGAAAAAAAAGTTTTTGTTGAATTCATTTCTAATTTTTATTATGACACTCTCCTTAATTACTATATAGTCATTAGTCAACCACCAGTATTCAAAATTTTGCATAATATAAAAGTTCTCAATTCATAATAGCAAAGCGTATTACGGTCTGAAAGCTAACAAAAAAAAATGTCAAGTGATCACGTCATCGGTTACGTCAAAATACAATTTAAATAAAAAATAACGTATCATCAAACTTCAGAACACACATACTGAAAAGTTATTTTTCTATGTAAATATATTCATAAGCGGCAAAAGAGTTGGCATCATTTTTTCTCTTCCTTGACTCTAATGAAACTTATGCTCGATCATTTTGTATATAGCGACATGTTGAATACAATTAATAAGTAAACTCATGAATTTAGTTATTGTGGATAATTATACTGATTATCAGGCATTACTTACCCCATACAATTATTCATTCACTATATTTATTTTAAGAAAAATTTGGAAAATTTCTGCAAACGTATCATATATAGTATGTAATTTCTAAATACTAAATTTAAGACAATGGGTTATATGATTTAAAGCATTATATTGCAAACAATATAGAATTAATAAATTATTTATTTAGGCCAATTTTTAAACAATTTATATTTTAACCAAATAAAATTTATTTATACAACAATATAAAATAAAAATAAATAAAACTTATACATGATCGGTTCAAAAAGTAACTATCAAATAGTAATAACTATCATCTATTAATCTTACCATCTAAAAAGTTCTACAAATTTATTTGAAATAAATTTTCTTTTACTCGTTATTGTCTTCCAAGAAGGCATATAATAATTTTCTTTATACCTAAATGCCTTAACCTGACCACGCTTTGCTTCGTCTTTGATTTTTCTCAAAGTTTGACCATTAATTGGTAAATCGTATAATTTCTGTTCGAGTTCAGCTATGTCATCTGGCAAAATTGGAGGCATAGAAGGATCATTGCTGTCGATCGCTTTTTTTATAATTTCAATCTGTGCTAAATAATTTCTTTTTGTGGTTTCAAGTCCTTTAAGAATTTCATCATCATAATTATTAGGGTCAACGCTCTTCTTAATCTTTTCTTCTCCTATAAAATGATCCAAGTAATCTGCGTATGCATCATTAAAAGCAGCTATTGCATTTTGTCTTAGAAATTGTGCAAACTTCAGACTAATTTCATTTATTGTATGTTGTTCTTTTTGTAGCTGATTAACCCTTGTTTGATAATCTTCTATAATTGCTCTTTTGGTTTCTTGATCTGATTTCTTTTTCGAAATTAACAATACTACATTTTGATCAATAATCCTTTTAGTTACTTGTTTGTTCTCATAAGTGATGTGCATATGCTTTTCCCATTGACAGCCACATTTATTACATTTTCCACTTGAATTCATTGCTTGACAACTTTTCAATGCTGCATTGTTTATTTCATCACATTTGACATTTTTCAAATAACAGCGTTGATGACAATGTGTTATGTAGTCTATTTTACTAACGTTCGTTCCATCAATTTGCAATGATCGGACACAACTAATGCTGGTACATACAGTTCTTGGATACCCCAACGTTACTGGTTCAAGATCTATTTGTGGAATGTATAGTTGATCTTTAAGTTCTTCTATTGTTTGGTTAGAATTTGCAATTTCACTTTGTTGTTCTTTAATTAACTTAATATTTGTTTGGATAAGTTGTCCTATCTCTGCAAGTGGTTTAGAAAGAAGTATCACTATATTTCTAGAATTGTTGAGCGATAGAGTATCTTTCACTATATGAGGTTGGCATGTTACGAGATATTGAATAAGTCTTAATGATTCATCCACAGACTTTTTCCAACTTTCTGAAAAATTTTTTTCATCAGCATCCGTAAATGTTATACCTGGTTCCTTGATTGCCGCTAGAAATCTAAATGATTCATTGTCGAAACAATATATTGTGTCTAGATTTACTTTTATTTCAACACTAGATCGCTTTTTGAGCTCCTCAAGTTGTTTTTTAAGTGGTGGCAGTGTATCACCTGGACGGTAGAAAGTTCCTCTAGCGTTGGTAAAGCAAAAAACAATGTTATCCTTTGCATTTCTGTGAAGGTGTGATAATAATTCTTGTATACAAAATCTGAATATTACGGTTAACCGAGAATTGTTAGGTTTAAGAAGTATGCAGATCCCATTTAAGTATCGGTGATGACTAATATACTTTAGGATATTTTCAAAATTTTTCTTATCTTGATCCAACCCTCTAGTATCACCTATACCAGGAGTATCAATCAATCTTACAATTTTATTTTCAGCTGCTTGGAAGACGTAGCTTTTACATTCTTGAGTGGACGACATGCCAATATTTTCCAATCTCTCATTTGAATCATCATTACCTATCTTAATTGTTTTCGTTTCATATTTATCATCCGTGATCGTGAATTTTGATGAAATCAATACTTCCATATTCCCAGATTTTGCTTCCTCTAGCGTATCAAATTTAAGATAATTAACGAAAGCATTTATAAAGGTTGATTTCCCCACACCAGTTTCACCAAGTAATAATATATTTATTTCTTCCGGAGGCGCTGCTGGTAATAGATCAATAAGTGTGTTTGATTCAAAAGATATATATCCTACATTGTGATAAGGACTATTGCACCTGAATTTACAACTAGTTATTTCACTTTCGCCACAACCACAATAAAAGTACCGATTATATCCATATTCTATATCCTGTTCACAATTGAAACATCTCCAATTGCAAATATTATGTGGACAATCGACATGTGGGCAAGGTATTGCTAATCGCATCTTATCGCTTGGATCATCTCTTGGTCTTGAATTACATACTTCAAACTTAACAAGATTTGATGTGAATAAATTTTTATTGTCGTTATAATAGTCATCACTTTTTAGTCTTCCATTAACATAATGGTGAATTACTGGATAATCAGGGCCTTTTATCCAAGTACAAATTTTAGTGTCAGCTATAAAGAATTTGCACAATTTTTCATTTAAATTATATAAATCCCTGAATACCATATGCACTGGCGACGAATTACTGCTATCAATGATGTCTTCATCAATAAGTATATAGATATGACCATTTGAATATCTATGCAGAATATGATCAATAGTTAAACTATTATCAAGGTATTCTACCTTCTTTGCTTTAAGAGTCAGAACTAAGTCAGCCTTTGGGGATATTGATCTATATTGATCAATGAACGTCGTAATAGAACTCTTAGATAAGATACTTTTCTGAAATGCATTTATTATGTTTTCAAGATCATCACTATTGCCTTTTCCAGAACGTAATTTAATAAGGCTTTCAGCGAGATCTTTTCTTAACTTCGCCTCCTCCAATTTAATTTCTTGTACATGATTGTTGATCTCATCAAGAACATCATCAGGTAAGAGATTAGAGATAGATTTTGCATCGTTAAATAAATCATTGAGCCGTTGTTTAGGTTTGAATAAATCATCAAAGATGTGATCTATTTTTAAAACAGTTTCTTCGGTCAACTCCGTTATCATACTATCGGTACTATCGGTATTATCGGTTGTAATATCATTTTGAGTGAGTAATTTCGCAAGTTCCGATAATGGATAGAGAACATATTCAATTGGAGAGCCTTTTCCATCATTAGATTGTTTAGCGTATGAAGGAATATCTGTCATAACTTTTCTCACATCATCAATGGATTTAGGAAATCTCTTATTATGGGGAATAACATCACCAAGAAGCTTTATAGAGAATTGTTTCATAAGATTAGATTGATCCTTTTCAATATTTGCGTCATCATTTCCGGAAATAGAGAGTGATAATTTTTCAAAATGAGACTCCAACGCTGCTTCAACTTGGGACTTGTTATCCTCCTTTGTGTCTTTACATTCAAATGATGCTATCATAATAGCTCCCCATTTTATTCCTATTACGATGTGAGTGGCATCTGTATTACTAAGCCCATCAGTAGAGATGCATGTTTTAACACCGTCACGATAAATATTCAAATTTTCTTCGACAGAAGTCATTTTGTATATTAGAGTGCCTTTTACAGATTTGGAACTTTCCTTTACATCGTTCAGATATTTTCCCGAACCTTCTAAAGTAACCAGTCCTGCGAGAGCACTTAATTTCAGTTCGGCTTCGACGTCTAATTTGTTGAACTTTTCCACATACGAATCCTCATATTCGTAAGATAATTCGCTATTTGGAATATCAGCTCTATTTATGGAATCATTTGGAAATTCAGTTTTCAATATCGTAGTTCCACAGAAAGTATCTCTCGTAGCATTATATAGAGACCCAATAAAAGCAGTTCTACCGAGAGCTTTTCGTCGTATAATTCTTTTAGTGTCTGCCATTAAAGAATAAAAAGAATATTACATGAGTATCGGAGTTAAATCATTTTATATTCTTAAAATCATAATAATAATATGACATGTAACCTTACACCAAGTCACATTGAAGTTCATGCTTTTTTAAGATACAATAGCAGGCTTGTAATACATTAACATGCATTGGTAAACAATATTAATTTTTTTTTGTAATATGTTTGGTGAATTTCTTTTTAACGTTCATTGTGGTGAAAAGTTTTCATCATTGTTTTTGAGTTTCAAAAAAAGAATTTGCCAATTTTAATATGACTTTTTTGAGTTTTAACACATGAAATGATGAACTTAAATATTACTGCGTTGTATTACTTGACCTGAGTCAAAGAAAGTATAATTTTAATAAAAAAAGTAAAAGATAAAAAAAAAAAGACAAAAGGAATAAAAATAAATAAATAAAAAAAATATTAAATTTTTTTTTTCAATTTCAAAATACTCTTGGAATTATCGAAAAAGAAATACGAAAAAAAAATAAAAAAAATTTTTTTCATGAATTTTTTTTTTTTTTTGTTCAGGTTTTCATCAAATTATTATTATACGTTGATAAAAAAAAATATATAGTGTAAAAATAAAAATAAAAATCTGTTTAGGATATGAATGCATTTTTACTAGTACTAATGATCAAAAAATAATATGCAATAACTCTCCCAATTTTTTTAAAAAAGACTAGCTATAATAATTTTCGAATACACAATATGATAGGATCAGCGGATAATAATAAAAACTTAACTACGAGACCGTGACCCAAAGGTCACACTTGGCTTATATCAATAAGTAAAATAGTTGGGAACAAACCACTTCGCTAACTACGTTCAGTTCATTTGCAATGTTCATTTGGGATGTTCATTTGAAATCGTTGGTATTCATTCTGACCTGGGACGCCACATATTCGATATTCTCCGAACTCAACTTAGAAATAGATGATGCCGTAAATGTTTTAATTCGTTTGATGTATTCTATCCGCTGATTTTTGTCATCAGTGATGCGGAAAAAAAGGTCATAAATCTTCCGAGCTCTTTCTATTTTCTTTCGGACCGCAGCTTTGGAAACCTCCTTGGGGAGTTGATCTTTAACCTCAATATTAATCTTTTTCCGAGCCTCATGCTCTTCTAGGTGGTTATACTGGACGAGACGTTTTTCTAGTCCCTCTCCAAAAAATAGGTAGTTTATTATCACTTCGAAACGAGCATCCTCTTCCATTACAAATCTGAAAATATAAATCAAAGAACACATTCTTCCCACTTCCTAGTTTGGAAGCCCTTTCGAGAGCTTCTCTCTCCTTAAGGTCAGAAGTCCGGGGGGAAACAGTGCTCATCTCCCGAACAAGCCTCTTAAGCATACGAGAATCCTCGTTCTTGACTGGTTTCTTAACCCTTTTACTGGGGTTATTCACGGAGGTAGAATTATTCTTTCGCTTTCTACTGGAGGGTGTGGGCTGATTTATAGCTCGAGTTACTATTTCCTCTTCATTCGAGCCCCTATCTTGTTTAACAGGTAAAGGATTTAGGCTAAGACCACTGCCTAACATACTCGTTATAGTCGAAGTTCCGCTTGATTGCGATGAATCATAATCTCGTCTAGTATCCACTGCTTCGGTCTCGATTGTCTTTCCACATCCCGGGAAAGAACATACACTTGCTGCATTATGCAATATCTTGTTCTCAATACAAAGTCTATGATATGTATGTCCACAAGAGAGCGTTGTGAACGGTCTGAGATTTAGTGAAAGAATCTCGTTATTGCACTCTGAACATGGGCCCAGTTCAGGTATTTTCATATCTTTGACAAGGTCATCTCCAAGACTTTTCAAGATATTGTATGCAAGTATTTTAAGATTATTGGGAGCCATAGTGATCCATCGGTACAAAGAATAAAAATCCAGTTTTTTTATAGCGAAAAAATTTCCGCAGGAACAGGGGATCACCAGATCTTCATCCTCTATTGCGTAATTCTTTCGTCATTTCGTTAATCTTTCTCCTTGCAAAATCATCATGATTGGCATACACAACATAACGGATAAATTATTTCATCTCGGAATACGGTAATACCATTAGATTATGGAATTGTAAATCATCATGATTAGCATAAATAACGTTTCGGATATACAATAGTACCATGGTTTATTCGGCACCAGTTTTCTACAAGACCTTTGTTTATTCGTGTACTTTTAAGTGATCTAGATATGAAAGGAAATTGTTTTGTTTCTTAGTAGATACCTAACAATGAGATCGTGACCCAAGGTCACGGTCAGCTTATTTCAGAAAATCTGGCACGCCTCACATAATACAATACTAATTTCTGGTACCACTGTGCTTTAATAAAAAAGTGTAAAATCCCATCGGGAAAACGTGACAAGTTGTCTCCTACTTGCTTATTTTCGAATGCTACGAGTCTATATTTGTTTTCATTTGTAAAAGTATCAGCAGCTTATGTCTATCCTTACACAACAATTGATATTCATTGTGGTGCATAAACCGATATACAGTGTAATCGAAAGTGATATCACTTGTATTCTCATCATTTCTATAATCCTTCTCGTTTTGATTGCTATAGTCTAAGTGTAAACTTATCGTATCTTGCCCAAAAACATTAGTCAACACTCTAAGTTCTGTTCATATATTCAGTCGATGAGAAAATAATGTTTTTAGGTATTGGCGGTTTTTTTTTTGTCACACTAATTGCAGTAATATGTCAAAGATGCATATCACTTGAGTAACTTGACTAACTCCATATGTATTCGAAATATTATAAAATAGAAATAGTTATCTATTCTGTGCGAGTATAAAGACCAATAATCTATTTAACGAGCAGTTTTAATTGTCGCACCAAATGGCCATTATTTCTAGTCCCCAGAAAATAACTGTTGAAACATTTTTCACCGCCTAAATCTGTCATTTCGTTCAATAAACTGGACTTTCTCAACATCTATTCTCTGGAGTTACTAAAAAATCGCCCTTAGCCACTTTTTGTTCGCATATAAAACCTAATACAGTTATAGTATTATTTTACCTCTGTTTCTCATCCTTGGGGAAACAAAGAAACGAGTTATTTAAAAAAAGTACAGCGAGAAGCATTCACAGGTATACAGAAATATCGTTTATTGTCATTTCAATATTTCACTTTTTTTTGTCTATATTATAATACCTATTTTGCTTTTCTTCCAGGTGTTAAAAGGAATTAAATAGAAATTTGCTGACCAAAGGAACTGCACCACAACAACCGGGTTTTTCTTGTCATCTGTTCTCTATAATCTACTAAAAGGCCACACTTAGTCGCTGTCTTGGTCGCTTATAAAACTTAATACCGTTAGAGTATTGCTTTAGCTCTGTTTCTTAACATCAGTGAAACAAAGAAACAATTTTGAATAAGTAAATGGCGAGGAGCATCTGCAATAATATAGAAAGTAAGAAAGACGATTTGCTATTACTTCAATATTGTACTTCCGTTTCATTTGTTTTCTAGTCAACATTAATTCATTTTTTGATTTTATTTAGCTGTTAAAAATAACTAAGTTTACTACAACTGCGCCGCATAAGAAAAACGAGGGAGAAAACCGAAACCCACCAAAAACCCGATATTTAAATGGTTTTTTTTTTATGACACAGCAGCAGTATAAGCAATGTACACGTGTACTAACAATGTACATGCCGAAAATCCGCAAATCTGAAAATTATATTGTCTGCTGTGTCATCTAATTAATATAGTAAAAGTAGTAATTCGAATTCATTATATTATGATAGCTGCGTCTCGAGAAGTGTGATGCCAGCAGGCTAAAGATATTATTGGATGATGAAGTATCACAAACCATTACTTATTATGATCCTCAAGATTTTAAGATCCTTAGTGAGGTTTCTTCCGGAGCATCCGCTTTGGTTTATAATGTATGTAGGGAAGATACAACAATGTTCGCAATCAAAAAATTTAGAAGTTCTAGTAAAGAGGCCGCCATCGTTAATGAGGTATGTTATTTGATACGTTATGATAAAGCTTATTCTATAAGTATTTACGATTTTTTATTCCTAGATTTTTTTAACTGGAATGGCAAGTCCTTACCCGAGTATAATTCAGTTCTATGGACTTACTAAATTACAGGGTAAATAACGATTTTGTAATTATTAATCTATAATGATTTTTGACTTTATTTTGATATTCTTTAGATGAAACAAATTACTCACTTGTCCTTGAATATGCTGAAGGCGGGACATTAAAACAATACTTAAGAGACAATGCTGTAAGTTTTGGATGGAAGAATCAGTTGCGATTTGCTAAGGAAATCGCAAGTGCAATCTCATGGTTGCATAATGTTGTGGGAATCATACATGCTGATCTCGTAAGTATATTATATCTATGTTATCTTATAATTCATTTTCTTAATCTATCGTACCACCTATTTTTTAGCATCCAGATAATATTTTAATAAGTAAAGGTACTATAAAGTTAGCGGACTTTGGATGTTCATATTTAAAAGGATCAAAACGTAATACTCAAGTACGGGGTGTGATACCTTACATGGATCCTAATTTTTTTGAGCATAACCTATGTTCGTCCGAAACCCAAAATCATCCATATCCCTTAACTGAAAAGGCCGATATTTATAGTCTAGGGGTATTATTTTGGGAGTTGACAAGTCGTAAATCGCCTTTTGATTTCGAGACAAAAAATAACGACAATCTCGAAATTTTTAAAATCATGTCGAACATTTTTAATGGTACGAGAGAAAAACCTTCTCCAGGCACAAACCATAAATTCGTTGCGCTGTATGAAAGTAAGTATGTACATTTTTACTATGATTTTTATTGCAATCTAATTTACCTGCTGTTATTTATTTCAATAGAGTGTTGGCAACACGAACCACATGAAAGACCAGAGGTTAGCCATGTGATTTCAGAACTCAATAATATCGTATCGGATAATTTTAGTCCTAAAGACAATATTGCATCAACTACTTTTACTCCCAAGAAAGGCGAAGCAAATGAGGATCTATACTTGTCAGATTAATAAGATTTGTCCCAATTATCGGTTCATAAATCGATTTTATAATTGACTACTTTCCGCTAACCAACTTTATATTTTTATATGGAGTATAAACACTTTTTTATAATTTCTTTTTCTTTCATTTTTTCCTCTTATTATATATTATATTGGGTTATAATGAACATTTTACTTTATTAGGCTTTTTTGTTTTCATGAACTTTATTCCATCATACTTTTACCTGTATAGTTTAAAAAATTCTTCGATTCTATTTTTTCATTTTTCATCACTTAAAGGTATAGAGTACCTTACCTCTCGCAACATAATCTTCGCACCAAAAATTTTATTATAGATTATTCGAATATATACTTTTAATGAAAAAAACAAATTTTCCTCGCTACAACCACCCTCACTTCATTGTCGTCAAAGCCAAACAAAGGGCTGGATGATTTCTTTTGAAAGGATCTTACGCACACGAATATGGGGCTGTTTTTTACTTTAAACCAATATATCCTTACACCAAACAAGTGGAAAGACACACTCCAAGAAATTATAGAAACTATTGAAGCTGGTCACTGTCAACCTGTTCGATTCCTAAGGATGTAATCAACCGCAGGTCACTGCTTGGTCCACGCTCAGCATACGGTGCAAATGTATTCTCTGATGAAGAATTGAATCGGCACACGGAGCTAGGTTTATTTGATTTTTTGCAGCATGGGGTTTTCCATTTTTTTCTTGTGTTGGTTATTTTGTTTTAAGTATAAATTAGATTTTCATGTTATTGTGGGCGGGTGTTTTTCCTTTGGAGTATCTATCTTTTTCTATTGTTTCGTTCTCACGATTTATAAGTTAAGACTTCCGAATTTTTTTATTAACTACACTCGAACAACAAAAAAATTAAGATTTACAAAAACCTCCTCTTGATTAATCACATCTATTTTATCATAAGTATGAAAACATACCGCCAAAATTTTTTTCACATTTTCCAAAACTCGAATCTTTCCTTTATTCAGATTTTGTTACTTTATCATTATTTCTCTTTTACTTTTTTATTTGTATCATTTGGAGACAATTAGTTTTTATAGAATGAATAAATTATATGGGTTTATTTTTTTACATAAATATATCGTATAATGAAACAATGAAAACTTCAAATATTTTACCCGTTTGTCATGATTTGATGCGCTACATCACCAGATGTTTGTACTCACGGCAGTTGACAAATAATTAATAAAATTTCCGCAGTAACTATCCGTTTAGAATTTGTCATTGGCATTATTCCTCCGTTTATTGTAGTTTAATGAAATTGATAATGGAGAGTTGGAGACATGCAATCTTAAAATCACTGTGTAACAACAAATTCGGAAAATTCTTCTCGATCATAAAAATTCGTTCCCTAAAAAGTAAAAACAGCATATCAGAGGAAGATGCTCCTCCATTAACATGTGTGTTTGAAAATATAAATTCTTTATTTTTTGCATTTAATATTCTATTACATGATAGCCAAGGGATACGCTTCAGTCTGGGGTGTGCGGTCAACTGATTAAATCAAAACTATATGTGGTCACACTGATTTTCAACTAGTGAATGATTTTTGGCAAAAATTTGATCGACATTATAGCTTTATAATACTATATATAAATTAACTATAAAAAAATAAGCTATTTTTAGATGCCCAGTTCGAATTGCTTTCTTTCTCCAAATTTTTTAAATATAAATCAGTTTTTCCATACCACAGCTACAAAGTTACGACATTTTTATTTACATCAACCAGCCAGTTAAAAGAAGATACCAATTTAAATCTTAAAACTGAAAAAAAATTCCAAACAATTATATCAGATGTAAGTTTTTCATATCAAATGTAAGGAATAGTCTCGTAACTTTGTTTGTATGGCTTTAATATTGGTTTTTACAAAATTTCGCCTTAAAATATTGAGCCGTTAGAGCTGTGCATCTAATTAAAGTTTGGAAAATAGCAATGGGTATACACAAGTCATATAAACGTCGTTCCTAATCTTTATGATTTCGTTAAAAGCCATATTTATTTCATTGTTATTCATCAACAGCAAGTGGAAGGTCTTTTTAACAAATTGGACTTAAAGACGCACCCAAATATGTCACCATCGGTAAAACAATCAAAGCTTCGTCTATCATCAGACAAAATCACAAAAGAAAACTTGACTGATGGGTTAAAAGAAATGCGAAAACAAAGAACTAAACAAAGGACTCCACTTCAAGAAGTTCAATTTGGATCTAATATTGCGTCAACACTTTTTAAACAGTTTATTGAATAATTATAATAAAATAATTGTTAAATTGTTAATATAAGTGTATATGACTGAAAGGTATAAAAAGTATAATAATTAACTATACAATACTTTTATTGTTTGTTTGTTTATTAATAAAAAAAATTTTATATGCAAAAAATCTTCAATAATAAATTTTTATATGGTACCATATATAGTTTTGATTTGATTAATTGACCGCACACCCTAACGCTTCACGCATCAAGTTAATACAAAAAGCCTCACGAGACATTTACAGTATATAGTATATGCAACATACCAAAAGTACAGACATAACGCACTTTCTTTATTACATAGAAAAAGAATTTTTGTATCCTTATTCCTCCTTTTCACGTAAAGATACGTTCGTCAGGTGAGTTTGGGTATAGAGATGGTTTTTATATCCCTTTGAAGTTATGTATTTGTTGCAATATTCGCAATAAACATGCGTATTTTGTCCAGGAGTATCGGAGGTGGACTTGTGATGATTATGCTTGCCATCCGTACTTTTTTTAGGATCAATCGGAACAATGACGCATTCGTCCGTATATGAGTCTGACTCTTGACCTTCTTCATCATTGGGAACGTTTTCGTCTGCCACTAATACTTCCTTAGAAACACTAGCTTCAGTTACGTTAGAGCCAACTTCTTTTTCGTTGCCACCAAGACCATCTTCGTCGGAGTTCATCAGGCCCAATATATCTTTCACTTCTTGTGTAATCAAGTTCAGCTTTTGGTAATCATCGGAGGTTTGTTATTCACTTTCTTTTACGAAATTATCAAGCCGTTTCTGCAACTCTACGTTTCTATATGAGAGCTCCCTATTCTTTTTTTCAAGTTCCGTACACCTACGTTTAAAACTTTCTTTTTCTTGAGTTATCACACATAATCGTTTCTTGATAATTTCTATATCCTTTCCCAGAGTTTCAAGCAGTCCTTTTTTTTCGGAGGAAGATATAACGTTATTACAGTCCGTATTATCTGTCATTATTGGAGAGACTTCAAAGAACAGGACGAGTTTCAGCACAGTATGAGTTTCGTAAAAAATTTCGTCAACCAAAAGTATCAACATGACCAACCGGAAACTTCACTGTTTACATCTCGATTTCCCAAATACGGGTAAGATACCATGAACTTCATTTCCTTATGATCCAAAAAGGGGGTTACAGAGTGGGTTACAGTTTACAGTTTGTCGTAACGCTACTAGTAATACAAATGACATTAGCATGGAGGGATGTCCATATTTGTATTTTTTAGCACGTTGTACTACGAACTATCTATCAACATGAAACTCAACAAACTCAATTTATTATTTTCGACGGACTCGGTAACAAAAAAAAATTGAGATTTCATTGCACTTCACAAAGTCTATAGCGCCTTGTTATTGTCTTTTCATCACAGAAACAATTTTTTACAAAACGAGAAAGACTTAGTCTTCCCTATTGTATGTTGCGAGATTGACAAGAGTGTGCCGTATACAATAGAAGAAGTAGGCGACACAATGTAGTTTTGCGATGCAATAATGTGGCTATGGAATTCTTAATGGGATGTCAATTTTATTGGAACCTTATGTAGTACAGAACTGGACACCTATGAGATCAAAACCATTCAGTATATACGTAACAATAGACTATTTGTTATACGCTTTGTTCCATAAGAATATTTGTAATGAAGCATAGAAATATTGAAGAGACCCACTTCACGAATATGTATTTGCAGATGAATTAGGAATTTATTTGTGAGGACAAAACCTATCAAAAGTACAATATTTCTGGTGAGGATTCATCAGGTATTCACACGTAGCGGAATTTTTACATAAAAATGGTAAATAGATGAACACTCTTAGATATCTTATCTCTATGTTGAATCATATGAAATCATTTCGTAGTCGTAGTTTAAATACTTAACTATATTCGCTATAATATTTCTCATGAGATGTAAACTAGTAAAGGAAGTCTGATAAGGAGATATTTTCCTATACAGTTTATGATGATTATTCAAATTTATTATATTATAAACTATAAATATTTTAAAAAGGATAATTTTATGCAAACTTAATGCTTTTATTTTTTGAATTTTTAAATGATAAATTGTAAAAGTAATTTCGCATATACATATATTTTCACTATCTGACGATTTCACCTATTTAAAATTGGAATGCAAGATAGCAAATTTTAAGTTGTTCAAATAAATCCTTTTATGCAAAACAGTTATTCTACTATAGCAATGGGTTAAATTATTCCCTGTAAATTTAATACAAAACCATTGAGAACATTTGAACGCAAATTGGGAGGATTCTGATATTCTGTCCAAGTGACCCTATTTCTACTTAAAGTTCTGTATATCCTCGCCTTTTGATCAAATGGATCGAGGGAAAAACCCTCCTAGACAAATGATATTAATAATTAATAGCAAGGATCAATAAACGTAGCTCAACAAATATCTAGTCTTACCTCTACCCCTGCGTTCATCCACATAAGCATTTTCTCGTGAACTCGTTCTGCAGTATCGTTTACTGAGCGTAATTCGATAACGAAATTTGGCGCTACCGCAGGATAAGCTTCAGCTTTTTCATCGTTTGTTAGATTGTTCCATCTGTAGCAGATAAAAAAGTTAAAAAATCTAAAAATGAAACCATATTCAAAATTTGTATAATATTCAGAAACCTAGTCATGAGTACAACGGATGCATCGGCACATCTCATTTCAACTACTTCTGTTGGTAATGTCCAACCCGTCTACAGTCATATATTTGTAAAACCAAAAATGATATTAGCACAAGAAAAAAAAAATCAACAGATATTTTGAAGCATACAGTAGCACCGCCGTACTCTCCAACTAATGGGTTATTGTGACACCAAGCGTGAATTTGAGAACCAAGTATCAGTTCCTTTCGACCTAATGGTATTTTTTTTTATTGCAAATAAGTAACATTTTTAAACATTCCTCATTACTGTACATCGAAAAATAGAATACCAGTTTCGTGGTGTACGGGCATTATTTCAATTTTTCCACCAGACAGATTCATTCGATAACAATTAGGAGTTGTTTGTGATAGTGCTACGAAATCTCTAGGAGAAGCCATGTTTACAGTAAATATCGTTTTTTATCAGTAGAAGTATGATGAGGTGTAAAACGAGTATAAGAATATTATGATGATGAAAAATAAGTAGAAGAATGTCGTACAGATAAGTTTCCCATATGAATCATGTTGTACAAAACACGTGAGTATATATTACGACATGTACTGTCCCACTTACTGTCCCTAGTTCGCAAGAGAGTTATAACTGTGAATTCAGTTGTAGACTTCCAAAGGACATAACTATTTTCTGTTCTAGGTCTACCATGGCAAGCAACTTTTATTTTTTTTTTTTGTGTATACGGAATTTTTATGTTACATGCGAACCAATGTTGCACTTGTTATTAATATGCAATTCGGTGCCTGAAAATGTATCGTCTATTGTTTTAACAATAGTATTGTCTTATTTTTTAGCATAGATCGAACAACAGCTGTGATAGAGCAATATTTTATGTATGAAGGGTGGAATTGTTCTTGAGTAACAAGCGAAATAAAGAATAGTAAATAACATCAACTAAGGCATAACTATATCTTGATAGAAGTCCGGAAACCATTAGGATTAATACAAATTTGATGGCAATCGCACCTACAAAAGATTATAGAAATAAGCAAGAATTTGATTATGGATAGATAACATGAGAACTAGTTACGTGCGAAGACTTAGATAAAGTGCAAGTGTTTGTTCTTTGTCTATTTATATTTTCACTTTAAATTTTAAGCAAATAAAATGTTATGCCATGTTGTTTATAGCGTTATCGAAGGAAAAAGGGCAGCTGTACACTTCAAGGATATGAAATAGATTTATTAAGAGGTGTGCAATTGATTTTTTCGGAAAGATACTGTACTCTAACGGAGCCGTAGAAGATTCATTGTAGGCCACGAAGATGACATCTGAGTCTGTCTATTCAAATGTTAACAAAAGGTTTGCGTATTTGTATTGCTGATTATAATCGAAATAATAATATACGACAATCTTTGATTATTAGAAGCTATTCCAATGAAAGACCCTTTTTGCACCTCATTAGACACACACATAATATGTAGACAAATGCAAAACAACTCAAACTAAACAAGCCTATGAGAGAGATAGCCGTGTAGTTATTTATTACGTATTATTTTTCGAGTAAACGCTTATCATTATTATAGATATCAATTAACATCAGTTAGTACTACTATTTTATCTTAAAGATTATTTGTCATTAGGATCTGGTTTATAACAATTGATGACAACATTAAATCAAGAAAAACGAAATCGACAATAAAATTCATATTTCTCATCAATGATATGCGCTATATAACATTTTCAATAATGTTCTCGATATAGAAACTTTCTTAGGCGATTTTTAACGGATAAGAATACTACTAGTGAGTAAAATAATATTTGGAAAAGATATTGGATACGTATGGTAAGTCGTTTTTTTGTGTATTGAGATTGTATATGAGTTGAATGCCACTTAACCATACTCTTCATACCCGAAGATTTAAGATATCAATCACATCCCTATGCATATATTTTATACCCTTGTTTTTAGTCTCCCGAAAATCAGGATTATTATTATTGAATATTAAGAATTGTTCCGCAGATAAGATGAATTGCCCATCTCATTAACAAGGTAAAAGATAACGTAATTTCGACATCACATTTGTCCTTGAAAAAGGAAACAATATGTGCTCTTCGAGCAGTCTTCCTAGAAACCTAGGTTTCTAGAACTTCCTTTGCAAAGGTTTTAGGAAATGTGTTCCTAAGACTGATTATATCTGCTCACATTCATGTGGACGATGTTTTTGAGAGGATACATTCTACAGGTATTTGTATCCGATGCTATCAATCTACTTCGCAGGCTTCGCTTATATTGTCATGTTTTGTTATAGATAGTTTCACGAATTACTAGCCTAGATGAGTAATTATCCATGAGAACAAAGGAGAGCACATATTAATACACCACGCATGTGAGATTAATGATAAGAATTCGGATGAATAAGGAAACAGTAATAGTTTTTTAGTAATCGTAACTTAGAAATCATTACCCCAAAGGATACTGTTAGATGGATGGCTGAATTTGGTGTACTTTATTGCTCAATGTAGTTCATTAATTATTTACTTGTCGCATACTGAAGTCAACAAAAATTCGTTCTAAGGCGCAGCGGGACAAAGAACGACACTGTGACCCACGGGTCACGATATCAAAACAATGTGATCACGTGGTAAAGTATAATAACTGGAAAAGAATATCGTCAAAAAAATGATGAGATACACATTGTGCGATTACTATATTAGAATTAATGAGAACGTGTTTTACTTGTGAAATAAAAATGTTACCATGTACTAACTGGCATAAGAATAATTATTGGCAATGATTTCAAGTGTTAATCTTTATTTATAATACGTGGAAACATACATTAAAAAAATATTACGAAAAATACAGGGATACATATTACATTTGTTGAAAGTGCGACTACTTGTTACAGAACCCGCTAATCCAATTCTTAGAATTATTGTTAACAATTTTTGATGAACGAAGAAATATTTGCTGTGGTCGATAAGTAATATCACGATAACGGGTAAATGAATATTATAATAGATAACAACTAGTATATAATGAGACAATATCTAACGACTAACATATGTAAGAATAAAAATCGGAAGGGAACACATACAGAAAAAAGAACAACTATACTTCATAGGTATCCAGATTGCATGGCTGATTCCTATTTTCGAATATTGCCCATATTCAAGGGATGCGCTCCACATATCTATGATCAAATTACTTTTTTTCTATTATCGAACATGCTGTCTCTGCTATCAAACATTACGTCTCTCATCTTCTATTACTAAAATACTTTTCCTTGCAATCAAATACTATGTCCTCCTGTTTCTTCGATGATAGGATACATATTCCTCCGTTTCGATTACTAAATAGCTTATCCAAAATATTGTCGCAACCTTTGAACCTGATTGAGTGTGATCCAATCATCACAGCCATGTATAATGAAGTTATTACTATTATTTGCTATAACCGACCCGATTATTATTTAAGATCATCATGATATAGCACTGGTACATTAAACGTAAACATTGCTCACTATTTTTCAATTCCAGTACACATGCTAGTAAACAAAACAAAAAATATACTCTGTTCTGTAGTAGACACAAAAACCCCCTATTTTTGGATAAATGTAATCCCCCCCATTTTGGAATGTTCGATATCGCCCCCCATTTTATTAACCAGCATTTGTGCTATTTGTGTCATTGTTACTTCGAAGCCTTAAACATTTTCAGGAAGTAGTATATATCTTGTTCATGGTGGATTGAATTGGTATAATTGGCACGATGGTGTAATTGCTATGAACATGTGAGGACCGCACCCATATGATCTTGTTTCAGTGAAAACTAGGCGAAACCCACTGGTATTGTGTACACATATAACATTACGAACAAGTGGAATCATGGAAACTAATATTCTCTCCCAGTTATTCGTCTCATTTTTGCGAAAATAGTTCTTGAACCGAATATTTTGATTACTATGAGTCTTCCAACCATTCCAACGATTACTACTTCTGCGTCCAAGGTCTTTTCCAATTCTCGCATTTCCTCTATGTTGACGTTGATGCTGCTGTCTTTCCAACATACCATCTTTTTTCTTCTGTGGTAACTTTGATTCAGTGACATGTGTTCCACTCCGCATTTGTCTTATACTGCTTTGTTTAATCTCCTTTGCAATGAAGAAAAGCAGGACCAAACAGTTTAATGCAATAGCGTACTGATTATTAATCGAAGGCAGATGTTTTTTTGTTGGCAACGTTGTAATCGTGCCTTCCCTTTGTTCGTTACCGGTACTGTCAGATTGTTTATCACGATAACCTTTGTTCTGTAACGATTCTTCACCGCACAAATCATCTTGTTTCGCCAATGAGGTAGTTTGTTGTTGGACAGTAAAGTCGTTTCTGCTGATCACAGTGTGAGGAACTTCATTCATATTTTCATGATTATTTGATGAACCAGACGAGATACATCCATTTTGTATGTCACATTTGGCTATTGGTGTAGAAGGAACCATGCAACTCAAGTCCGGAAACTTTTTAACAAATAATTCGTTCTTGTGAATATCAACGTTTGTTCCTAAGAATTGACTAAAACGAGAAACTTTCTTGTGTAAGGATTCCTTAGGACATGTAGAGCCAAGTATAGGGACTAGTTGAATAGGGTCATTGTATTGGAGACTAATGAATCGTCCAACCTCTACAGGTAAACTTGAGCGTACACGATGAGTAAACTCCTTAGCCTCTTTATAGTCTGTAAATGTAAATGATGTGGCCTGTATGTGAAAATCGTTTGTCCAGTAACCATGCCTATTCTGACCATACTCGTCCATGACAACAAAGTCATTTGGTGATTTAGGCACATTCGTTATTCCACTATAATTATCACGAAACACTTCCAACATCCCGTCAAGAGCTTGTCTCAGTAAATTAACTATTTTTGTTCCAGAGATTCTATTGAGTGAACCGAACTCTACATGTATCCGAGGAAATTGTGGTAAATCCCCATACACTACTTCGGAAAAGGATCTTAAGTGTTCGGTTACGTTATCGTGGAACTCCCAAAACTCTTCACGTGAATGAAAAACCCTATACATGTCTGCATTGTGATCCTTAACTACTAATTTCGTAGATAGCTCTTCTTTGTCATACACATCCTCAACAGACAATTCATGTTGTTTTTGTGTTGTTGGGCAGCTATAATTATCTGTTCCGTATTCCATTCTTTAGTAAGGTCATGTTAATTCAAATGGAAAACAAAACCTAAAAAGATATGATTTCGTATACTAAAACAGTACTGGGACACAAATTTTTGACACCGTAAAAAATAAGACAATGATCTGGAACAAGGGTTGATAACTTAATAAAGGAGACCTGAAGGATAAATTCCAAGGGAAATAATGTAAAAGTCAATCCACGTGTTCGATGTAAGCTACCCTAAAGTAATATTATGTCGGGTAATTGAAATGGAACACGTTAACTCTCAGACTATTATATTCATGCAACATAAATAGCTTAAGAACAAAATAGTATACTTACGGAGCGGTTGTACAATCGGTATGACGATTATTGTACCCAATAAGAGCATTGCCGAAATAAATCTTATCCTTTCTATTTCCGCAGTAATAATAGTAGGTTATGATTCTTTTGTAGATATTGTATCAACGCATAGACGTAATGCAAGTGTTCTCACTTGGAATAAGTATAATGCAACAGTCCATTGTATTACGATTTCTTCTATTTATTGTAAAACCACATTGGAATAATCTTGGTAGACAAATGCATCATCTACGGTCATCTATATAAGACAAGATATGAAATAAAAAAGGTTCATGGGGGAAAAATACGAACCCGTTTCTCATGTGTCTATATTACTAGGTCCGAAAGGAAATTCTTTTCTCCAAAATAACTGTTGACAGTTTCTTCCTGTAACTACTCTCTGTCTTATATTATGTCTACGTGGCAAAATTTTATTACGATAAAAAAGTATAACATAACAACCATGATCGTAGCAAGTATTCGAATTATATATCTATTTTTTTGAACTAAAAGGGTAGATGAAATCTACTTCGTACCCGTAGGGTAGGGCAAGAGTAGGACCGGCATTGCGAAGCAATGTGTTCCCAATTTCAAAGAAATAACTTTCACAGCTTTACCAAATTATATCTATACGTTCTCTATATGGTTCTTTAGACGTCCCAGTTTTCTTTCATAAATATTCGGATATCCTTATAAACGACAATTGTATTATTTTTGCTCCCGTTAATATACCGTTATGATATTATTGCATTCTCAAATTAGTTCCAATCGACTTTGTGATTAGTAGCAAGATAATTGAGAATATAACAGTTCGTCGACTACAGAATATGTTCCATTGCAGATATCCACTTTTGAAAGAGACAATATCTACTTCGTACCTGGAAGGTAATGCGACTGTCCTTGTAAAATTTTCTAAAGGGACGATTATAGTCTATTTTTTGTTAGTTCTGGTGACGATAAAAAAGATGATGTACAGTATCCCTTAGGTCACGATGTCGCTCTTTTAATTGTACTGCTACGTCTAAGACTAATTTCTGTTGACAATTAATGAACCGCATTGCTCAAGAAGCACCACCAAAATCAAACCTCTATCTACATGTGTCCTTTGAAGTAATAACGTCTAAGTTTTCGATTACTAAAAAGCTATTATTGTTTCCTTGTTCATTCGAATTCTCATCATTAATAGGTGTAATCGAATTAATACGTGTCCCTTGGATTATTTCACTTAATTCAAAAAACTAACTGTAACAAAAGTGTATGTTAATGTAGGCGAAGCTTACGAAGTAGCTTTAGTCAGTTTCACTAAACTGGTTGGCATAAAAAATGTGATCGAATTATTAATCTCTTTCCCTTCAAAGAACTGTTCTAAGGATTCCTAGGAGTTATGTAGTAAAATTATTACGGTTATCTACATAGATTCACTACATCAGAAATTTAGATCCACAAATCACGTAACTAATTGTTGTTGATATTTGTAGTCGAATAATTGTATTTATTCTCTGATTGTATACCCCACTTCGATTTATCATATGCTCCTTGTTCTCGATCAAATATTTCAAAAAATGTTACAAAGAAGCGAAAAATACTACACCATCCCGTTATCTTTATTTTTTTACTACCACCATCTTGCGTTTACATTACCATTTTGCTCTTCGAGCAGTCTCTGACTGATGAACTTTCCTTTGACAACAAAGTATTATTTTCCGTTGTAGACATCATACTCATATATTTTATGTACAATGTATTTTCCTGGTGGAGCCTACGAAGTAGATTCTTCTTGAAATGCTCAAGCAGTGTATGAGTATTACGCTCTACATATGACGAAACTCTTAGTATTCTTTTCTTCTGTATTCAATTTTTTGTCATTGACATCTCAAGGGACCTCGAGAATCTACACGCTATACAGTTATTTAGTGAAACTGGTCAAGGCCGCTTCGCACATTTTGATGTTTGTTATGTTACAAAATTTTATACACGATTTTTTAAGGAACAAAAAAAATTATTAGTCACGAAAAATGGAAGTTACTAATTAGTGATAAAATTGATGTAACCATAGTTGATCACTATGACGACGATTATAATTAATCATCAATTCATCATGCTCTGTGGCTTATGTGATCGTTCTACTCTAGAACATGCTAGAAATTCTACTTCGTACCCTTCGGGTAGGCGAAGCCTACGAAGTATATATATATATATATATTTTTTTCGCTTCCAAAAAACTTTTGTTGACTGGTCGAACATTCCTGTTATGGAAAAAGAGAATAACAAGTCGAATAATTTTGTTAACACTTCATGTTTCCCTAGTACAATTTCAAACGACGACCTTCAAGTTCTCCATGTAACTTTTGATGAGTCGACGAAAGAAAAATTATGTAACCATAGACTAAAACCAAGTTTAATTAAAAAGATCAATGAGCTATGTAAAGAACTAAGTAGTGTTTTAACCATATGTTATTTTTTTCTGTTTTACAACAATGGAAATACGTGTAAACATTTCCGATTCGTGTTTAGTGGATTTGAAGGGTACTTCATGGGACATTACTATCAAGTATCGCACAAGAAATAAAGAATTATGTATAGAAGAATTTAAGGTATGTTCGGTAAATTAAATATTATTCATGTATTTCTTCGTGAAGAACAGAAATGGATACGATAATTAAATATTTGCGTTATGCCGTTGTAGTTTTCAAGTCTCTTTGATCCGTCTACAATCGCCCATGAGACTAGTGAAGTAAATCAATACAAGAAATGGTTGGAACTATATAGTGAAAAATATAGGAATTACTTGCTAGAGAAAAAGAAAAAAATACCATGGACCATGGAAACGCAGTCAGATTGTAAGTTCCTTGTTTTCAAAGTTCATTTGATACGAATATCTAACTTTATTTTGGCTTTTTTGAAGGTGTTGAAGAGGAGGAAATTCTTCATGAAACCAATAAAATAGTCGATTCGAATAAAGAATCACTATCACACATCGAAAATGCCTCGTATTCTCAAACCGTTATAGAAGAAACTGAATATAAGTGTATCGAAGTAGCAGTGCCGAACAAAAACCCAAATTATTCTGAGCAATTAAACGAGATTCTAAATATTATCACAGGTCGGTAATATTTTTGTATAGTTAGAATTTGTCCGGCACATTACACATCTCATTATTTCAATTATTTTTTATTATCAGATATTTGTGATGACGGAAATAATGAGAGACGTGTTTATCCGCATGAGATTGAACAATTATGGAGAGAGTATGCTGCTACTTTGCACATTAAGAAATGGTTACTCAAGTCTAAATTTGGATACAAAGAGTTAATTCGTGAATTTAATGAATTAGGCTATAGCATTAGTAGAGACACATTGTACAGGTTTTATAAACGCCGCACTATTCCTATTCGAATTAACAGAAATGCGATCATGGCGTGGATTTTTAGGGAAAAGAGAATTATTAGTGCGTGGATGGATTGCTACAAAGTATTTAGACAGCAGGCTTCGCCGAGGTGTCTTGTAGTATAAATTTGCGGGATAAATAAAAAAAGCTATCATCCTCAATTGTTTGAGGACGTTTGTATTCTCTTCCAAGAATTTCGTTTTCATGTGATTATAGAATCTGTTTATTTCAAAAATCAGGAAGCTATTCTGAGTACTCCCTTCATATTCAATAATCTACCTCACATTCGATTACTAAAAAAAAATTTCTGTAACCGAAACAGAATTTCTTGATAAATATTATACATGTTTACATAAATACATTGCAATTAATTGATTTAAACCGGAAAACTTATTTTAAACATAATCTTTTGCTCCCGTATTCTTAAATTATATTCCGAGATTACACTAGAATCTGAAGATTCTCAGCATATTCTCTTAGTTAACGAATACTAATACTGTATTTTATGATAAAGATCCATACATCCTACATTAACCATTGTTGTTGTAAGAAAGATATTACCATAATTCTTCAATTCTGGAGTCGAATCTCAAACGTAATGCCATATTTTCATTTATATATTCTACTTCATACCCTTCGGGTAGGTAAAGCTTACGAAGTAATTTTTTACATCAAGTTCCATTTTCTAAACTGGTTGGCAAAAAAATTAGAAGTACGAAACTAATACTCGTAGATGAATCCATTCTCGAAGACAGAATCACTGTTTTTTAATAGAAGTGAACCTGAGTAGACATAATCAGTTGGAGACTGCTCGAAGAGCACAAATTGTTTCTTTTTTGTAGGACAAATACGATAACGTATATTTACCGTGTTAATGAAATTAATGGCTCGTCTTATTTTGCGGAATAATATTTTATGAAATATCAGGAAACAAAAACAATTGTAGACGCCTGGAGACATTCCCATAAAACCAGTGAAGCCCAAATCCTCTACATTCGAGAGATTATAAGAGTCTCTGACTGATCGGTGTATTATATCTTAGATTCTCCCTAGGTATGAAGAACATGGTTAGTATAACATCCAACTCATATACAATGCGTACAAGAAATGACTTATCATACGTAGTCTATTATCTTTTTAATTATTACTTTACTCACTTGTGGTAATATTGTCCATTAAAAAACGCCTAATAAAATTCTATATCGAAACATTTTTAGATTGTAACATAGCGCAATCGGATTTTATCGTCTGATTACATTTTTTCTTGATTTCGATGTTGACACAAATTATTAATAAAACTGATCCTAATGACAAATAGTTTCACCCGCCTTTCCTTTTTCGTTATACACATAATTTTCTTGATTGTAATAATGCTACGTCATAGATCACATGATACTCTGAACTGACCGTCTTGCCGCTCAACCACGCTCATTACATAAGGAAGTTCTAGGAACCTGGGTTCCTAGGTGCAGAGTGTCACATGAATAGTACTACGCCAAAGATGTATGATATGCCCATTTCATTGAATGAAGTTGTTAACTGCGTGGTGTTTGTCTTTGACAGGAGACACAAAAACCCCTATGTTTGTTGGTAAACGCAATCCCCCTCTGTTTGTCGATGAACATATCCCCTCTATATTTGCCAATGGTTATTCTCCCGTATTTGTGAAACACCCAAGTGTCTGGATTCCTCTGGAATATGTTCGGCTGCTAATATAGTATACCAATGAACAGAATAGGGCAGATATATATGTTGCAAGTTATAGTAGAGCAACACTATTTCCACTCACAATGCAGGCTGTTTATTCGTCAACCATATGGGCAAGATATTGTGGTTCTGTTGTTTGTTGAAAATAACTTGTGTCCATTCTTCCACATAATTACGAGACTATGATATAAAACAGCGCTCCGAATGTGTTCTTTAGTTATTTCCTTTAGTGTTCTACATTTCCGCAGGATGTCCTTCATGTGCTTCGCACCAGCTTGAAGTGCCAGGTATTTTAGTGTAATATGTGAGATTATTATTTCCCAGAACACATAGAAATCTATTTTCGTAACCCATTCTTCGGATACATTAAAGGATCGTGATAATGGAGCTTTTTGATTCGCTCCCTGAACAAACTCTTGATTTGAGAATGGAACAGATGATAATATTTTGCTCTTCGAGCAGTCTCCGACTGAGACTATAGCTGTTTTACAAGCACCTCGAAACCAATTAATATATTTCCTTCGGGAACTGCTTCTTCTAGCAGAAGAGTGATTCACCGTTGAAGAACAAAATCTTATACAATGCGGAGGCAGAATATTCAGACATTTCGAACGGGTACATCTACTATACTTAATCCGAAAATTAGTGGGAATGTTGTTAGTAACAGAACGTCCCCAACTACTACTCTTGTCCTTTGAATAAAACAGTAATAGAATCTCTAGCTTACGGGTTTTTTCATTGTTAACGCATATCGTATGTAGGAGTATTGTATGTCTGAAAGGTGTCTGTTTAGTGATGATGCCAAAAATGTCTTGACGCTTCTCAAGTGTTGGTTGAAAGAAATCGGAAGAACATCGAAGAGATGTAGTGTTTTGACATTGTTGATGACTAGAACTGCCATCCTTAACAAAATTTTCAATTCGTCTTATTTGCTCTGCTATAACTAAAGAACATAATAGAAATTTTATCAACGGGTAGATGTTATGATCTTGTAGATGAACCACATGTCCTGAAGGAATATCCTTAATGTATTCTTTTTCCATAGTCGGTGCGTTGGTATGTACATCTGAAAACTCTTCTTTATTAACTTCTGTTCTTAACAGAGTCGCCATATCATATATAATATCCTGTGAACATGTGTCAGGTAGATCAACGGAATTAATACTATCACACATATTACTATTAAATGTCTGGAGGGCAGTGCTTTGCACCTTTGGTAGTCCCTTTAGGACTAGTGTATCTGTACTGTTTTGAATTGTTATTAATGGGCTATGTTCAGCAAATTGCGATTCTGCATAAATAATGTCAGTAATAGCCCAGCACATGTCCCAAATAGATACACAGTATCCCTTGGATATCATAGTGTCACACTCAACAAGTTGTGTTTCGGTGTTGGATAAGTTAACCGGAGTAATATTCGCTTCTATCCCGTGAACATTATCGTTAACTGATGTATCAGTTTTGTCGGAAATTGGCATGTCGTGTCCAATACTTCGTGTTTCAATGATAGATGAGATAACATCTTCTTCAGTTTCGGGAATGCTATCCTCGTTAAAGTTGTCCCTATCAATCTCATTTGTAACAGTGTTTTCGTGGTTGTCCTTTTCTAGAGAGTTAACAATCTCCGGAATATTTTCATCAATCGCATCCTTAGAATAGACGAAGCTAACAGAGCAATCATTACCATTCGCAACAGAGTCGCTGTGGGTAAATTGGTGGGGAAGGACATGTTGTTGCATAACAGCGAGTTGTGGATCATCAACCTCATCAGCTTGGATAGGTTCATTTGTTTTTTCGGAAATGTTATTACAATAGTTCTCACTAGTTGTTTGTGAAACGCTATCAACCTTTAAGTCCGGAAAATGGTTAACAAATAGTCCATTCCGGGGAATATCAGTAGCAGTCCCTAAGTAACGGCTATATGATGAAATTTTTTTGTTTCTAGCGTCATCTGGAAATGTAGAGTCAAGGATACGGATATACTGAGTAGGAGGGCTACAAGGGAGAAACAAGTACTGTCGAATCTTTTTTGGTACACGTAAGGCCAAGTTATCAAGAAAAATAGATGCTTCTTGGTATCCGGAAAAAGAAAATGAAGGAGCTAGTATATGAAAAGAGTAAATCCAGAATCCGTGAGAAGAAAGACCACATTCATCCATAACTACCAAGTCCTTTGGTGAAATAGGGACATTTTTCGTGTTGTGATAACTAGTATGGAAAACCTCTAGCATGCTAGTAATAACAGACTCAATAGTACCAACTATCTTTTTTTTAGGCATTTTAGAACGAGAAGAAATCCCTACGTGTACCATGGGAGTCTGGGGCGTATCCTCAAACACTACTTCAGAGAAACACCGTAAGTGTGGAGGGGTATTATCACTAAAATCCCAGAACTCATCAAAAGAATCAAATACCCTATAGCCATCGGCAGTATGGTCCTGAACAACAAGTTTGGTAGACAAATCATCGGCTAAATATGTTTCGTACTTATTATAATCCATTTTTATAAAATACGAATTAGTTCAAATAGTATAACGAGGTAGCCAAAAAAGAGACAAATGTCCAATTAATAGTACCAAAACGAGATATCCAAAAAGAGACAAATGTCTAAATAGAATTTCGGAGTAATGGATGGTAATGAGGCGGCAAGTAACTGGTATCTCGTTGAAATGATTGCGTCCAAATATGTCTTTCTACTGTTTAAAGGAAGTAGGAGAATATAAGTAGCGACACAATAACATTTCCAAAGGAATGACGTCTGCAACGAAAGTCGATGAATAAATAAACTTACTATATTAGTATGCTCTCTGTAATCGTTTAGCGATCAATAAAAAAACCATACGTTCGAATTAATATTTGACCGCTGTTCCCTCTATTATAGATCACGCATACATGTTTCGATCACCGAAAAATATCTGAAAGTGCTAAAAGCATATCCAAAGGAATACCCTCCAGGTATTCTGTTATTGATCAATGTCATACTTCATAGCCAAATAACAGAATCCACAGATATCATTTCGCTTCACGAGTTCATGGGTTCTGCATTAGCATTAATATTTGTCCACTGTTTTTACATTCGAACATGCTTTAATTGAACATGCATGTCCACTATTTTTTTAATCGAGCACGCCTGTCCTTCCTTTATTATCGAACCATTATTTTTGTTGTCAATTTCTAACTTGCAATACTATATATAGTGTCAATAAAGGATAGACATCAGCCTTTGAAGTATTATTTATTGTTTCCTCTTTGGAGCAGTGATGGAAAATGACCAGGTCATTTTGTTTTTTTTTAAATGACATAGGTCACTACGCATGTGACCTATGGTCATTGATCATTACGGTCATATCAGAAATAACCAAGTGACGTGACCATCATGACCATAAGTCACCTTGGTCATGTCACAATTGACGTGACCCCTTGTTTGATTAACCAATAAAATTCTAATTGATAATCTTTTTTTGTAAATCAACTAACCGAAAAAATTTTTACTCAACGTCAACCCAAATAAATAATGCCTCCGGAACCACATAATTTTCGTCCGTACTTTACACTTGTTAAAAATACAATAAATAAAGGAAATGCGTTTGCAGTATGCAATAGTTGTATTAATAATTGTGATGGGGGTTAGAAGAAGCTAAATTAAGACCAGAATGTTATACATTAAATAAAGCAAGATTATGTCGTGCACACTTGGCTAAATGTGAAAATTTTAAGAAAACCTTTTCTGAAGAAGAAGTAAAGGAAATCCTTAAATTGCCAGTACCTGAAGACAAAGTTAATGATATTATAGAAGTTGATGATGATGATGAATCTATTCAAAATTTAGCAAAACGAAGGAGACTTTCTACATCAACAGTATCAAGTTTTAACTCAATTGGCAGCCAACAAAAATCATTAACATCATATTATCGTCGCCAAATGTCAACAAATGATGTACCTAGATTTGAACAACTATTCATTAGAATGACAGTATCTAATGGTCTTCCTTTCTCTTTTGTAGAGAATGAAGAAACTAAAGCATTATTTGAATTTATTGCTCCTGGACTTGTTCTTCCTAATCGTAAAGCAATTGGTGGCAGAATCTTAAAAGATGCAGCTAAATCTCTTCAACATAATATTGTAAAAATCGCAGCAAATGATAAAGATGGTGTTACGGCAGCCTTTGATGGTTGGACGAATGTAAAAATGGAGCAATTATGGGGTGTAGTATTTATTACATCAAAAGGACAACCTTTGGTTTGGGGAGCACATGAAATAAGTGCTGAGCGATCTCGTACAACTAATGTTATCCAACATATAGAAGAAATGATGGAAGACGCAAAAAACAAAAATGTTTGTATAAAAGCATTTGTCTCAGATTCAGCAGGCGAATATGCAGCAGCAAGGTAAATTTAATAAACCTAATTTTAATTCATTATTATAATACTTATTAATTTATTAATGGAAAAATAATTTAACTTTATTTTTTCTAGACGGCAAATAAGAAGAAAATATCCAAGTAAAATTTTTTTACCATGCATGGCACATCAAATGAATCTTGTTTTTGGCGACATTTTAAAAGAGAAAGAATTATATCAAAGAATATTAAAGGAAGCAGTCCGATTAGTTACTTATTTTAATAAATCAGTGTATTTTACTGGAAATCTTCGTGATGAACAAATGAGAATTTATAATAAACACATATGTTTAGCATCTCCAGGAGATACTCGATGGAACAGTTATTACTTTTGTTTTTATTCTATTTTAAAAACTCAAGCAGCATTAAAGGTAAATATTATTAGTTTAATAAATATTTTATATCAATAAAAATATAATATTTAAATTTTTTTTATTAAAGTTTATTTCAGCAAAATTCAATCCACATCGGGCTAATGTAACACGTCAAAATGGAATACCTTCAGCATCTGCAGATAAATCTTCAAGTCAAAATGGTGACCGAAAACTTCCNTTATGTGCATTATTTAGGGTAAAAAATCAAGATAAAGATGAATATCTTCTTACTGTAAAGCACGGAGTCGGTGATGTTGATGACTCAGTAATTCAGCCAGGAAAGGTAGATAATGTATGCAGTTAATGGAAATTATGAATCGTGATACCACTAAGCCAACCTTGTTACTTTTTAGGGCACTCTTGATGATCATTGTGCTCGTGTTAAATATTCGGACTTGAATATTGATGATTCAGAAATGCTCGTAGATTACGCCTTTTGTATGATTGACGAGTATTGCGATTCAATTTCTAACAAAGCGTGTGGAACTGAAGTGGTTATTAACAGTGTAGAGTCTATTTTGGATCATAAAAGTGAAGATCAATTTATATATGTCTATAAGGTCGGCAGAGAGTCAGGACATACCAAAGGACGAATGATCCCTGTTTTAGAACCTGTGGTCATAACTGAATTGTTTGAAAAAGCTAAAAGAGCTAATGGTTTGTTGGTTTACGGTATTGATGGTAAATTTGGTAAGTCATTATTTATTAAATTCCTTTTCTGACATTTTTTTAATAAAATTATTTTCTGTGTACAGGGGATCATGGAGATTCAGGTGCCCCAGTCTACGATGAAACTGGTGCCTTGTGGGGAATTTACGAGGCTACCCATGAAAAATACAGTGACATATCTATTGTCATCCCTATTGGCACTATCTTAGAAAGTGTTTACATAAAGGAACAACTGGAATTTAAGCTTATTAAATAATGATGTTAGAGGATTTATTCATAATAACCAATTATAGGTGAGAGTCGGATGTTTTACTTTGGCATGGTAATGTATAGTATGGAAACTAAATGTTTATCCCAATCTGATAATAGTCATTATAATTACATCCACCGGAAGATTATCGTTAAATTGTGTATCAACAAACCGAAGTACTTGTGATTTTTTATAAGAAATGATCAATATTAATTGGGTAGCATCAAAGGATGATAATTTGCTGTTTGCATTCTAAATAATTTTGTTCACTACATAAGCACATGTAATAATAATAATAATATATGTAATACTAGATAATTAATGTAATAAATTTGTACAATAATGCTTTTATTGCGATCAAAGAAACTTTAAGAAACTATTATTTTTTATACAATTTTTCATTTGCGATATGTTTCTTGTGAATCTGTAATCAAGTATCATTTCACTTCATGTGTCCCGTCACTCCCGTGGGTTCTGCATCAGAAATAATATTTGTCCACTTTAGCCTCTTTAATCGAATACTGCATGTCCACTATTTTCTTTTTGATCAAACACGCCTGTCTTCCTTTTCAACTACTAAATAACTATATCTGTTATCGAACCACTATTTGTATTAACAAGTGCCTATTTCTAACTCACAATTTACTTCGTAGGCGGGGCCTAGTAGCATTCCATCTCTCGGTTGTTGTAAATAGTAGTTTGAAACAAGTGTCAATAAAGAATGGACACCTGAATAAGTGACGGCATTCCCTCGAAATATTTTTTATTGTGGCTCCTTTGGGGGGATGTTGCCTAACAACTAGCTGTTCCATAGTAGTTCAGGAAAATATCAAACAGAATTGTCAAACAATAACGAGAGCAAGTTATGGCAAAAATGCTACGAAATGGCAGAACATAGAACTTTTGCTTCTTCTACAAATAATGATCATAAACCTAAACAAGTTTTTGCTTCTTATCGCCCCTTGGGTTTGATAACTATTTTATAGAGACTGATTGAAGTGAAATATAAAAGAGAATTTTAGGTGCGTTAAAATATTGTAAGAATCTAACAACTCTCCTTCATAAACTCCCACTAAACGTTACACATTTATTGGTTTAATTTCACGTGATGATCTCTTAATTAGCCAATTAAATTTTTACAAAATCGTTCACAAACTTTATTACACTTGACATATTCGGCAAGGCATTAGTGAAATCTGGTAACAAAAATTACCCTAATAATATGGATCACGAGATTATATTTTTATTGGTAGGTCTGCACATTGTGTACAACGAGACTGTGACCCGAGGGTCACAGTTGAGTTACATTCTTTTTGTGGCCTGGTAACACACGTCATATTTTTCTGAAGAATCTATGGGTGGCGGATAATCTCCGGAAAATCTGAAGATAGTTCTATTGTTAATCACTTCAATCTGTATACTAAAAGAAATGTTAACGAGAAAATAAGATACACAAATAGCATGGGCTTTCGTATACAAGGATCAAGAATCAAGAATTGAGAATACAATCTCGAACGCTTTATTGTAATAACATTCTATCCATAAATTCTCTGTTAATGTTTTTTTCGTAGTTATACAACAAATGAAAACGTATATACTATCTATATTATGATAACGCAGGTGGTCACACTATACACATCTGATAAAAAATATTATAGATCATGTGCTCTTCGAGCAGTCTTCGACTGATTATAATGTCTACGCAGAAATCTGGTTGGGCATATTAGTCCTTCCTATCCCATATACAATACTAGAGAACCGATTATGTGCCAATTCCTAGATCCCCAAAATTAGTTGGCAAATTCTCATCGTCCCTTCTTTTAATTTCATCTTGAAATACTTTTAGTATTTTTTCGTATGATATATCATGTTTTATCCTCCCGGCGGTAAACATCATTTTGTGTAACTTTCTCATGAAATGATGGAAACTCTTAAAATAGGGCGAGAAAGTATCCATAACATAATCAAATTGTTGCATCATCCCAAGCTTCATAAAGCCAATGTTTTCTGGAAGACCAGTAGCCCATGCGATCAAATTTTTTCTTTCACACCCTTTATCACGTGGTGTACCACAAGGTCCTTCAAATTCACAACAGATCCAACATAATACGTAGAAGAAAGATTCTAGGTCATGTTGAAAACCATGAGCTGACTGTTGCAGAAGAATATCAATTGCCATAAAGGGTAATGTTCCTGTTCGATGCCCTTGTACTTTATTCTTTTCTTGACACGAGCCAGTATCAATCGCATAATCCAAATCGATAATAAATCCCCGTCCATCATCTCCTATCAAAATGTTGTACAGTGAGATATCCCTGTGAAGAATTCTAGCTATTTGATACAAATTACGATGTCCTTTGATGGCATCACGAAAAGCAACTAGTAGTTCCAAATGGTCATTAAAATAGTAAATAGGTTTCCCATACGTAGATGTTACCAGTCTAGTATGGATTCGATATTCTGGCTTTTTTAACGGAATGTTGTTAACATTGACAGCAGACGAAGTTGAACCTATCGAACAACTCTGAAGAGGCTCGTGAATCTCACAATCTGGATTCCCTGCGGGATTGTTGGCGTGAAATTCAGAATCCACTCTACCGTTGTCATCAAGAGACAGAAAAAGCTTCTTTCTAATACATTCAAACGTGTCATCAACTATTTTGCTCCCTTGAGACTGTTGGTAAACAGCGGGATCAGATATTGGAAAGATAGTAACATCTTCGTGGTAGTAGTACTTCGTAACTCGAGAATTCACAGTATCTTTTAATGCAATCGTTGCTTTCTTAAGAAGGTCGCCTTCTGTATAATCCCGTAAGGTGGAACGCCAGGAGTCTTTTATAATATACGCTTTGTCCATTAGTTCTTTACCATCCTCGTCCAGACGATGTGCTTTCCAACAGACAGTAGCACGGCCGCATATGACAGCCCGATGAAATATTTTTTTAACTAATACAAATCGTTCGATTTTACTTTCTGCTGTGATACCACTTTGTCCCTCCGATACTGAATGCATATCTTTTTTAAAATCCATACGACCAATACTAAAAGGGTAGACTAGGACAGAGGGGTCATAGCCAAGCTGAGAATCTTCCATAGTCGCAAACTCAGTGATAACTCAAATAAACATTTTCAGATCTTTATGTATGCTAAAAGCATGGGAGCCAATGCCTCCTGAACGATCAAAAAGCCAAATACGGATTGATGCCCCGTATATCGTAAACCCAAAAACAAACCTTCTAGTTGGTTGATTGCCAAAAATTTCACGAACATATCCCGCCAGTTCTAGATCCGTGTTTACGTTGTCATTTTTGTCTGTACGCTTTATTTCACCCACAACGTGAATATCGCTCCAATGTACTACAGGTTCCCCTTCTCTTCGTTGGACATTGCTACAATCGACTAAAACGATATCTGGTTTACGAGCCACTGCGCATATTCGATTTTGTATCGGACAGCAGTTAGCGTGAACTACCGCAGTCCTTGCAAATTTACCAGAAGTTCTATTACACTGCTGAATCACATAGTTTACCAAGACGAGGACAGGTTGATAAAACTGGGTTTCCAATGATCCATCTTTAGGCCATCCTATCCATTCATTGTTCCATTTCTCTTCTTGTTTACATTTTTCCATGATCTCGTCAATAACTAACGCTTGGCTCTGTGACATAGGAAAAATGGAACCAAAAAAGTTATCGATATTTCGGTGCATAACATGTCGAATCTCTTGCCGAAGGAGGGATTCTATCACAACAGAAGTCTCTGGGGTAGTATAAACGCACGCAGTTGTTATCCGAATTTTGTCATTTTCGCATCTTGGCCGAATTTCATATTGGAAATCATCAGAGCTCCCACATATTGGTTGTTCAACTAGAATATGGACATGTTCAGAGGGTGGCGGAGAGTCTCTTGGAAATATTTTTGCGATTACTTCTACAGGCAAGAGTCCTCTTTTTTCGATGGTAATATTTTAGTATATGGATCTGGGTCGTTACTTAACGCCAGAAGTTCCTCACAGGAAATTTTAACTAAACTAAGATCCAAATCGTCTGCCGAAACATTTGTAAACGCAGTAGGTTTTTTTTCGTAAATAGTTTCTTTAAGGTGTCCGATGGATAAAAATCCAGAAATGTTTATTGTCAATATAGTCAGTCTGTTTGAAATTCTACGCCTCGGTATATTTTCTTGGGGAACAACTAAACACTGCAGGGTTACTATATAATCTTTTAAATCGTTAGAAGCCATTATATTAGTGTGGGTATTTCAATTGGACTGGGCTACGCCTAAATATATAGATTGCTCTCCAAAGTGTACACTATATTCTATAAAGGATAGCTTTCTTTGTAAAATACAAAAAAAGAAATACACTTTGTCACCTAGCTAGGTATGAGTTAACGTAAAGTAAAAACTGCTCCAGATACAGCCCACATGTATCATCGTTTAGTAGTCACAGTTTCAACTTTCAACCAACGAAATAATAAATGGACGACATCACTGAAAAATATGGGTGCATTTTATATCTATTTCATTCAAATATAAACGGAAATAACATATTCCATAAGGTTATGCTATTTCTTATTTTGTGGCAGTGTAACATTTTTGTTTTTTCACTAATTTACCCCTATCGTTCTGATTGGTTGGTAATTGTCGAACTCGGGTGCCTTTTCCGCTTTTATAGCTTTTTTGAGGTCACCAACAAGACTATTTCCATCTACGTGGACAGGGAAAGCGTTTGTGAGTGCGTTTCCCTGGACAAGACAGAACAAAGTGATAGACATTTTGGGTTATATACTAATTTTTTATGAAATGTTATTGGTGCGAACTAGTGTAAGTGAGGACAAGAGTAAAAAAATTTTATTTGCGGAAAAAAAATTCCGAATGGTACTATATGTGAGAAATTCACTGTTGCACGTATTACTCCTAGCTTATTCCTTAAAAGTGATACCGTTGTTACCTTGTTGAAAATCATTCCCACATTTACTAGGCTATGCCTACGAAGTAAAATACTACGTGAAACAATTAAGGTTTTTACCGCAGTAATTTATAATGACTTGACATAACCGTAAAAGGTAACAGTTGTACGACACTCTGTGGCTTAACCTGACACACAAAAAAGTATTGTAATTTGTTAGTCTGTTACATGCACACTTTAACTATTGCGAAGTTACACATTCTCGTGTGGTACAAAAATTTGTGGCGTTATTTGTCATGATGAATACTAAATAAGCACATCCGAAAAATCTTTGTTACCATGTAATCACTAGCGTTAATAATAAGTATAAGGAGGATATTGCATATAAACTGATCATAGTTTTTTTGTGTTCTAAATTTTACAGGACAAAGATTCATTGACCAGAATAAAACATAATGTATGTCACCAAAGATATTGGGTTCTCACGAACAACAAACTTGAATTTATAAACCAGTAACAAGGATAAATTGGACGAGAACAAGTCATATGCTACTGCGACATATCTATCGCTGAGTAAATCCTTAATTGTAACTTGCAACCCTTTATCGGGTCTTGCGAGAATGAAATTGCGATCATTGGTTGTGGTAAGTTATCAAAAATAAATTAGGGCATAAAATACCCCATATCGAGTATATTGTCGTGAAATATATTTCGAAATACATTAAGTGTTAATATATGCTCATCATGTATCAAGAATATACCAGATCACAGACTAAGTCTTTAATTGAGATATGATGAAAACAAGTTCCGAAATATCTTCATAACGTGAACGTAACGAAAAAGTAAGTGATATAAGCGGTATATTGTGGTTAAATATATATTTCTAAAGGAATGACTTGGAGATGAAAACAGTAGTTGATAGTAACGAAAATAATGAAGAACATAAAAATATGTTATTACAACGAGAGTTATTATATCTTAACTGTCTTGTTAAGATCGATTAAACATCCTAGCATCTTGTATGATTCTAATTTCTTCTTGTAGTTCCGCATTCTCCTGTTTATAATGTAAGCTGGGCGAATCGACAATAACATGGATAATTTCAGTAGATGGTTGTTCTTTCCAATAATCGCTAACTATTTTCTGGATCTTCTTTGTTCTTTCTGCACCATTATTCTTCAATTCAAGTTTTGAAAAATCAGCATCATGGATCTCTACCTTCCAAAGTGTTAGATCAGTAGCATCAATATCGGAAAAGATTTTGTTATCAATTTTCTTAACAGTTTCAAAAATTTTATTTTTTAGAGAATCGATCAAATAATCGGTGTGAACCTCTATCCCGAATTTTGAAAAATTTTCATCAATCTCTCGATGAATACGACAAGTGAGCCTAATATCAGTCATATTTCTAATAAGGTTACCCATAATAAATTAAGTTACGTATTTATAATTCAATTTTCATGTTGATCATCCGGAAAAATTTTTTCTGTGAATGATGATCTTGATCACGTTGTGATCTGGCTCTAGTACAACTATGAGTATGTTTCATGTTAACGTTCCTTATTTTTTCTGTTAAAATGTCCGAAGAGGTATCTGTAGACAGAGATGGAGAAGTAGAGATTACAGAACATCCTGATTATTAGGGAAAAGAATCTTTTTAACTTGCGAAGGACTTTCTTTTAGCAACGTAGGCGGAGTGACTACCTGTGTTATGTGGCAAAATGTTCACAATTTCTGAGCTGTTTTCACGAAGTGATGATAAATTTTTTGATGTCGTAAGATAATCACCTGATGGGATTGAAATGGCCAACTGTTTTTCATGAACCATCTGTTGGCCCATATCTATATCGTAACATGTATTAGTTATTTTACTACTCTCGTTAACCGTTTCGGGTTGAATAAAACCGACTACACATCTGACATCCTTAATGATCGTAGTGTCATTATTATGAGCTCTGTTCAGTCCTAAAGAGACCATCATAGGTGCGAAGTGAAAGGGACTATGTAAAGATGTATTAGGTGGATCACACTCCATTTTCGTTTTCTTGTTTGCTTCTGCTAGAATATTGTTATAGTGATCAACCGAGAATCTGTTAACGAAAGTCTATCCCTATCCACTTCAACTGCCGTTCCTAAGGAACGACTAAGAGGAGAAATTTTCTTGTGAAGTGATTGCTTATAATAGGTGGAGCCTAAGATGCGGATACAATGAATAGGATTAAGATAGCAAGGGTTGAAAGAGTAAGCAATCTCTCTAGGCAAACGTAACTGGACTCTACTTGCAAAAATCTTCGCTTCATTGTGGTTAGCTACACGGGTTGTATATGATAACTGTATGACCAAATACCAAGAGTATTTTGTCCGCATTCTTCCATAATCACAAGTTCCTTAATTGCCGATTCGGATATGATCAGCAGAAATTTGATATAAGAATTTGGGGTAAAATTTCGCCGATCACTTATTGAACACTTCAATATGGCACAAAACGCTTAAATAGTAAGTTTACACAAACTATTTTTGTGCACACAAAAATCATACGATCTAATGCAAAAAAGGCCAGAGAATTCGAATAAGCCTTCGTAAAACAGTCTTTAGTTGTATTTTTAACGACTTTACTATGTACGAACGCTGGATTCCAAGAAAATTATGAAAATTATAAAATATGCATTTAGCAATTTTCCATAATAAAGTAATATAAATTTTGTTTATTTGAAAGGTTTAGACTCCTCAAAAAGTTACGACACCACAGTTTTTTTGTCAACATTGAGTTCTATTTTTCTTAGATTTAAGGATTTCGTGGTAAGTTTTTTGGTGATTACGATTTTTTTTTTTCTTTTTATTGATTTTATTTTTCATCATTAGAAACAGTTTATGTATTCGGAAGTCGGAAATATTTCTATTTAGTTGATTTATTTCATTGTAAATTTTTTTGTGGATCAATATTTAGAAACAGTTCGTCCTCGCGTTGTTTCTCTTTCTTTATGGATCCAAAGTAGAATTTGTTGATTTATCCTTGGATTTTGTGGTAAATATTATTCTAAGGTTCGAAGATGGGAAGGGTTTTCCTTTTTATTCTAGATTTTTTTTTATTTTGTCTCTTTTTATTGATTTTTTTATTTATCTTTTAGTAACAGTTCATCGCTCTCGTCTTTCTTATGAGTTGGAGAGGAAATTGATCTTTTTTGTCCTAGGATTTCACGGTAATTTTTATGAGATTCGGAAGTGGGATCTTTTTTTCTGGGTGTTGTTTCGATTTGTTTCTTTTTTTGATTTTTTTTTTTTATCTTTTAGGAACGATTTGCCTGGAATCCTTTAATTTCGGTGATTTTTTTAGAGGTTCTGAAGTGATCTTTTTTCTGATTTTATTTTTATTTTTTTTTATTGATTTTATTCTTTATCTTTTAGTCCTTTTGAATTTGTTGTGCAATTTGAGAATATTTCGCAATCTTATTTTTTTTTAAATTTAGATTATTGATTTAGGTTCGATTAGATTAGAATTTTTTTTTTTTTTAGCTATAGATTTATTATTATTATTTTCTTTCCACAATCATATATTGGATCGTGATACAAATTATATAGTAAATAAAACAAAAACAAAATTATCTAATTTTATTTGCATAATTGAATACAAACTTATTGCTCAGATGACTCCGCTTCCTCAAGAAGCCTTAGTGCCATGGTTTTCTTGAATGATCGTGACGTGCTTGTTATCCAATTCGCAATTGTGGAAACTTTTGGTACGTCATCTTTGGAAATTTCGTTATCAGTCACTCTTTTCAAAAGCTCCTCGTGCATTTCATTAGCATTCATTTTGAGCCTAGGATTAGCAGTACCAGAGTGAAACATTATAGTAAGCAATCCCTTGACATGTTCTGTGATTCGTTTAGTTGGTACTTTTTGATTCACTTTTAAATTTTCAGATAGTGCCCATCCACAACCAAATACAATGGCACTACAAACAAAAAATATGAATATATTCACGATAATTCAAATAACACTGACGATATAGAGGAGTACAACATACCTTTTTGATATTGGATCAATATCCATATCTTCGATTTGTTCTTCTTCAACCTGTTTAGTGTTTACAACTCTTTTATCAGGTATCCTGACGAAAAATAAACATTGATATGTTTCGTTTTACTTACTTCCTGAATTTCTTGATCTCCTTGGGTATTTTCTGAAAAGCATGATGTTTGTCAATACAAATTAATTACGGAACAATTTTGTTGAAAAAATTACCTTTTCTTGATGTCAATGGTACAGTCCATGATTTTGAAGGTTGTGTATGTGTTGTATAGATCGGAGTTGGTTTTCCAAAGGTGCGTGATTTTGTAATTTTATCAATTTGACAGTGGGAAATTTTATTCCAATTACCAAATTCTGGCAGCGCACGGGTACATATATATCCAGTGTTCTCTCCTGTTTCAGGCCAAGTAAACTCATGCCAATTTGATATACCATTTATCGTTCCTAATTTTCCTTTTTCTATTCAAAATATATTATCATTCATTTTCTCAACAAAAAAAAAATGAAACTAAATATTTACCTTTATCACGATCTGGTTCAAGATGAGATACATGAGTACCTGAAAGGTCTTTGATGGCATTTTCAATGTCTTCTCCTTCTTCTATTTCATGTCCTATTTTTACCCATCTTTTTATTGCGTGAGAAATCTAAAACAAATAATAATATGTATCAATTACTAATAATACAAAAAAATCAGGTATTTGTTCATACCTGAGCATGGTGAGAGTCTATTGCGGTTTTTGCTTCACCTGCTTCCAAAAATAACCATCTACGAGGACTTATATCATACCATTCCTTCCAATGGCCTATAATAATCATTAATTCTGTATTACGGTAATGTCCTCCATTGTCTGAAATAATAGTAACCCATTTTGGTTTTCGCTCCAAAGTTTCTATTACTGAATGTAATGAGGACGCCGTAAACCACCCATCCTGCCGAGTATCTCCAGACCAATGGTCAAAAGCTTGCACTTCCAGGTTATTATTTTCAAGATTTTTCGTATACACAAGAACAGAATGAAGCGTCCATCCTCTTTTTCCGAACCATTCATTTTTTGTTTCACGAGCTTTTTTGGGAAGAATTTTCATCTTATAATCTACAATTATTAAAGCTCCATCTGAATCAAGTTGAGAGAATTGAGCATTAAACTGTGCATTGAGGTAAGATTTGCGAGCATGATGTGCCATAAAAATAATCAACCGATTTTGATAGGCTGGTAACTTTTCTTGTTGTTCTTGTTCAAGGCTATTTTGTAAAGTATCAAAGAATGATAAAAGGGATTCACAGTTGTCACAAGTATCTGGATGGTCCAAATAACATTCACCAAATGCATGGGGTAGGCAATGACTGATACATTTACTATGTTTCGCACAACCTGATGAATCAATATTCAATTCTTTTGCAAAATCTCTACGCAAATAACGTCTCAAAACTTGTGCTTGTATTTTTAATTCTTTCTATTAAAAATTTAAATTAGAAGTATAAATACTAAAATAATTTATTCATTAATTAATAGGTAAATATATACCCGTAATTGAATATCAGAAACATAATTGTCAATCAAATCTTCAATCTCCACAAAAACTTCGTATCCACATTCATTACAGGTTGAGCATAGGCCTCCCAAATCCTCTTTATATTGATATCGATTTCCCTGGAGACGTGTCATAAATGAAGTTCTTCGCATACCATTAGGGAATGATTCTGAAAACTTCTTCCATAACAATGCTTTAGTATCTTGAAGGTACAGTACAGGCAATCCAGTTTCACTATCGGTCTTATAACTACTCATATTTACATTTTCTTTGTTTGAAAAAAAAACTTCAAATTGAACTAATGATTCCTCTGATAATTTAACTCGTTGAACAATAGGTTTGAATAGTGGTGGAGCACCATAGCCAATAAATCGTGCATGTTTACGGGCTTCAAGAATGGTATGTGCACTGACCTAAATTTAAATATTTAATATCTGATATTAGAATTTAAAATAAAGAATTAATTATTCATATAATTTGAAACTAATATCTTACTCCCAATTGTAATTCTAATTCAGCATATGTAAAATCATCAGCAATAATTGATAATATACGTCGCTTGCCATCTGGAGTCTTATTATTTATCATCATTGCACGTATAAAGCAATCCCAAAAAATTAGAGTTTGGTTTGGAATATGTCGGGGCTTGGTCTGGAGAAATCCTGATTTATATAACATGTATAATAAATTCTCATCTTTTTTGTAATCAATTGACCGCGTCCAAAATTGCCACTTAGAGTGATGATAGAATATTATTTTATTAGCTTATAATAAAAAAAATGGTGGTTATTTGCTATATCATAAATTTTCTTTGATGGGTCGGGTCATGAGAATCTAAATTTTTTTTTTTGCCCGTAATTTTTTTTTTTTTTTTTTTAAAAAAAAAAAATAATAATTGGTATAAATAATACTTCGAATATTTTTCTCTTTTTGGATACTACTATAACATATAAGATTTTTTATTACTTTGTAACGAAAATTTGATAAATTCTATTTATACTTTCTTTACATGATATTTTGCCATATCTTTTTACTAAATTAAATTATAATAATTACTATTGAAATATATTTCATACTAATAATTTTTAGTTACTCTATTTTCTACACATATTTTTACAAATTAAATTATACATAAAAATAAATTTTTACACATTACCATACCTCAGATTCATGAGATGACCAAGGCGTTATATTGTGACAACCTGCAGCACGTAATGTTGTTTTCCATGCTCTCAATTCTCGATCACTAAACTCATACTCACTTGGATAAAGTTTCTCAAGACTAGACGTAAATTCAATTATTGGATTTTCACTATTAGCCCAAGATTCAAAGAATTGATACCATTTTACATTTGCAAGTGTTCGACGTTTAAGATTGTAATCAAATACAGATTTTAATAAAGGAAAATTGTGCCAATTATCTGGCGAGCATGTGGGTTTTGAATTCTCTTGAATAAATTTTCTTGTAAAGAAATTTTCAAGGCCAAAAAGTTGGATTCCTTTATATTGTTTTATAAACTTTGAAATTTCCCATACTTCATTTGGAGAATTGGCTACAAACCGGTTTTTAATTTTGTAATCTTGATAAATTTCAAGTGTACAATCTTTATCTTCAATTGTAGATACAAATATTGCCGGTTTATCATGATATTTATTGTTGAGTGAAGCTTTGTATCATAACCCACCATTATTCCAATCTTCGCGTAATGAAGTGCCAATACTATAAACAAATATTAGATATTTTCCAAGAAGAAAAGAGAAAGGAAAAAAAGAAATATTTTGAGATAATTGTGAAATTATATCCTTATCATTCCATCCTATTACAAGTGGACCAGAAAAACGCGTTCGTTTTTGAAATATGCTAGCGTATAGATTCGAAACTGCAGCAGAAGAACTACTTTCTACACTGCTTGAAAAGACGCCTGAAGTACAAATAAACCCAGGAGCAAAAGAGTTTTCAGAATTTCCTAGTAAAATAGTGGTATAAAAGTCCATTTCATTTAGAACAGCTTTTGTGGTTTGACCAATACGAATCGGAAAATAATTTGAGATTTCATTTTCTTTATTGTCACTATTTTTTTGCCACCAAAGACGCGAATATGGCCCATAGTGCAAGTCTAATAGTATAGAACCTACTACTAACAAGGTAACAACAATTTCACGAGCTTTAGGCGCCATAAAAAAGAGACGACTTTGAGATTCAAAAACAATATATTTTTTATATGTTACTTATCCCCAATTTTTATAGTAAATAGCTATATGTGTCACTGCAGATCTTATCCGGACTAGCAATTAAGACTCTTGTGAACATCTTTTCTGTCACTGAAATTATCACGAAAATCTTCCAACATTTTGTTAGTAATATGACCAAGAATGCCGGCAATCTCATTCCTTGGAATCTCAGACCGTGATGAAAAATCTACTTGTATTTTGGGTGATTGAGGTGACTCCCCATAAATTGTTTCAGAAAAACAACGCAAACATTCAGGAAAAGTTTCATTATACTTCCAAAATTCTTCACGGAAATCGAGCACTCTATATCCACAAGCATTGTTATCTTGCACTATCAACTGTGTGGACAACTCCTCTTTGTCATATACCGCCTCGACTTCGTAAAGATCAGTAAACATTTTGTTGTTCTGCTTCAATGAACAAAGTTTTCCAGATTTCAAGTTATCCATTTTTTATGTTAATCTCATTTTTTAAATGGACTATAAAAAAATTGACCAGTACAAGATAGGAAAAGTTAGCCACTAGAGGATTATAAACATCGGATTCTTTCTTGTCATTAGTAACATAGTTACCGAAAAAACTAGTACACCTTGTACGTTGATATAAAAACAGATATGTTTTTATTGATGTCATGAGTACATGATAGTTTGTTAATAAAGGTACCCACTTGAAAATCTCATTGCTCTTGTTGTAGAACACTGCTGCAAAATAATAACACGCTTTCTTGTTGTCTAATATTGCCGACTCGTTACAGACAAGTTCGAAAACAAAAAAAAGTTACTATGTTTCTGTAATCTCTTCTCGAAAGTTTTGCGCCACGACAGATATGTCATTACTAGTTATGTAAAAGAACATTTAGAAGATTGTAAATATTTAGGAACGGTTCTTTGAATTTAATATAGTTACAACAATTGTAATAGAAAATAATACTTCGTGTATAACATACCGAATATTGCATGGAAAAAATATTCGGTAATCAATTATAACATATAATTATCATGTAATATGCAAAGGGAAATCCGCTTTGAATAATAGACTATGAAATAAAAAAGAGATTATGAATTCCAAGAACTTTGTTCTAGCTAAAAAATTCTCGTACTAAATCAACTGTGACCCAAGGTTACAGTAGGCCTTTTCGGTCGTATTTTTCGGTTGGATGAGGTTTAATTTGATTGGCCAGATTTTCCTGTATTTTAGACCAATATTTTTTTTGGGTTTTTAGGGCGACCGCAAAAAACAATCTTATTGGCACAAAACAAACCAACCGAAAAATACAACCGACCAGAAATGAACAGGGCTAGTCTCGCAGTTTGACTATTTCCTTAAACGGTATGATATCCCATTGACTAACCGCTAATTGCATAAGGTAATCAGTTGCTGCGGATATAACAAGCTATTAAGCCGAAGATTTTCATTCTGATTAAAAGCAAAACATTACTGTTAAACTTGACATAGAGATCACTACGGTCCCATTACGAAAACAAAGTTTCACGGGAAATATACATGGTATAAGCTATGATGAAAAGCAGCATCGGAAGAGAACAGATTAAAAGAAATTCAGTGGTTAGCGATCTAACTTAAAGGCCAACCTAGTAAGCGCAATTTTCTGTGTATATATTGTTTATTACTCACTGGTGCGAAACTAGACTTTTAAGTGATCTATTTTTTTTGTTACCGCTTTCGAGACTATATTCTTTTTCTGATTCTTAGTAGTTGTATATTTTAGTATAATATGGGAATAATGAGAATCATTTCAAGATAGGATGACAGCAAATTAGTGGACAGAAATTTAAGCATCTCGTACAAAAAAGCATTACATGAGGATAAAAGTTTCCCACTAGATGCAAGCATAGAAACAAACAGCGATGGACTTATAGCGATACAATATTTTTTTGTCCAACCATCGTGAGTTCGTGACATCAAATTCAAAGTAAGTTCATTACATTATCATTTGCTATTAGTTACGTAAAAATCTTTTTTGACCTTAGAACTGATGATGCGCAGTAGTTAGGAATATTTGTAAAAAATTTTCATATTTCTCATCATTAAAAAGCTTAGATATTATGTGACAGAATCCTTTGCCTCATATAGAGAAAAACAAAATGTTTACTAATGAGAAATGAAAAATTATATTTAGAAAGTTTGTTTTTTGTTCGGATATCGGAATAGTCCAAACATGGTCTATATTACAAGTGTTATGTGTTATTTCGGAAATTAAGCAATCTACGTTACTACATGGGTAATTATTCAACTTCTGTTGCTGACCAAAATGGGAAAAGCTATAGTATTATCACATTAAGTATAAATTTTTTAGTTGCGACTTATAAACAGCATGATTATCATTAATACCAATATTTTTACAATGGACCCTGAGATAAACACGTGAAAATGGAGTAATTTATATATGAGCAATTATAAAAAACAGAAATCTGCAATACAATTACGGAACAATAATTTAATCTATATATGAATATGACCTGTATTATTATGTATAGAAACTATCAACAAGAACATTTGGGTTTGGTTCAATTTTGTCATTATTACCATAAGATCGCCGTATTCTTTAAATAAGATTAATTTGTAGTTGTAGTAGTTGTAGTTGTAGATGAAAAAGACCTCTTTTTATATTTGGTTACACTCCCGTCAGGATGGTGTGTTGTTCCTTCCTCTTCAGAAATGTCGCTTTTTTCACTTTTAGTAACTGTTTTTGACAAAGAACTAGAAGAAACCTGACTATGTTTTGAACAATAAGTCAGCGAATCATCTATTTTTTCAGAACAACCGCTAGCAGCACAACTTTTAGTACTTGGATTGTCAATTCCTGGACCATAACTCGGATTATTTATGTCTGCTCGGAAACTTAAATAATTACCCCCACTCCGATTAACTACCTTATTCCTTGCCGTAGCACTTAACTTTGATGTTTTGTGTACACTAATATGTTTCTTAGTATTCGTTTCTACTCGAGAAACAATTCCCCGAACATTGTCGATCACATCTGAGCAACCATTCATTTTTTTTATGAGTACCTTTCCAATCTTCTAGGTATGCTTTAATTATGTTGTGCCTCAGATCGATTCTTGCCTCAGATTGAAGCTCACGCACCTCACATTGAGATTGTCACCTGACGCACCTCATTTGAATTATTCAATAAAGTCTGTTATAAGTAAACTTTTTTTCTCATTAATTAAAACCACTTTTTGTAACATAAACAAACTTGTGCACCATAATGAGTTACATGTTTCCTGAAATTTTTATGTAAATCCGATTTATATTGAAGTTTATATTTGTGTTTTATCTGAAAAATCATTAAATTTTAAGTCATTTTTCAAATGAAAAAATTTAATAAGTATGATTCCAATTAATCTGAAATTATAGGATTGTATACTTAAAATAATGATAAATAAGTTTACTTAGTACTTAAAAATACATTAAAATTGGAAATTTTGATGTTTAATTATAGCTCATTTTTATTAGCAATTAAGGTGCGTCAGATGACAATCTCAATCTGAGGTGCGTGAGCTTCAATCTGAGGCAAGAATCGATCTGAGGCACAACAATTACACCTAATGAATATAGCATTTAAGTATACTTAAAAATTAGCACTGGAATAAACATCGATAAAAAATTCTTAAATTATATACCGCTATCTCCCTTTGCTTTGATATTTCAATGATAAAAATATTGAAAGTTTGATAATTCGGTGAGTTGAATTCAAAGATATTTATACTAACATATTGAGATAAAACTTTTATGATATTTGAAGTTACACGTTATCTTATCGTTCTTTAATTTTTCTCAGCATGGGAAAAAATAAAAAGGGAGCAACCTAATTGTCACGCTCATACATAATATAAATAAATATTATACAGTAAAGGTGATAAATAGAGTATAGTGATTAATGCGGTGAAATCGCAGGTGCATAGTAATCAAAAACGCCAAGAACGGTTAATTCTAATTCCGATAACAAATATGATTAATAATTGCACCCAAAAGGAATAATGAGCAACGCATAATATATTAAACAAGTTTTAAGCTTAATAATAAAAACATAACGGGATAATATGGTAAAGGTCCCATTGTCCCAACCTAGTCTAATTGCTAACGGGTCATCTATTGGCTTAGTGAAATCAGAAACTACGAAATTTCGTTCTCGCAGATACTTGTCAATAATCTTGGATGCTCTTTTCGGGTCATCCGACATCCGTATATTGTCGCACAATTATATGGATATCATCCTGTCTCGAAATAAAGTTTAAATTATTTATTTTTTGCATGTATTAATGAAGCGAGTTTTTTACATTTGCCACATAACATTGAGTAATTTCTGTTGTGAAGCCGGCACACAACCATTTATTATTTCTCGGATTCACAATTTACACGCCCACACCATAGGTTCAAAAATCACAGTTACGAACTTAATTTAGCCCTATTTTGTTCCTTAGCCAATCAAATATCGACGTAAATTGAACAGAAAAATCCGTGTTCGATTATTCTTTCTCAAAGATACTAACCAACTATGTCAATTAAAAAAGATATAGAAGACACCTTGATTTTATTAACAATGCAGGAAATACATAGTTCTTTTGAAGAAAATGATGAACTAGTTGATTTAATAAAAGAAATACTGCTTGTTTTGTCTTCTTCACGTTATCTTCTCGAGATTATTCTCTACCATTATACGATGATATACGTTTTAAAAAAGTCTTACGGAATGGAGAAACAATATTTTAATAAACTAGTACAAAAAAATCAAATTGATATTTTGTTACGAACGATAACTATAAATTTCTTCTTCGAGAGGTAAAACATTTGGAGATTCTTACCAGTGGTGCTACGATGAACGATAACAAAAATTCTCTACTATATGGTTGCTCGAGCGAGCATCTGTCGTTTCTTCAAAACCTTTCCACATTATTTGTAAAATGTTCGAAAAGCACACCGTTGCCACGACAACCCAGTTTTACAAATAGTCTGCAGCATTGATATGGGTTCTTTCGTTCTTTCATAGGGCGTAAAAGAATGTAGATCTTGACAATTGCAAGTTTCTACATGAAGTGTATTACATATAATGCCGATCATAATAGATTTTTGCCGCCCATTAATAAGTGGTTGCATTAGATGCACAAAAAAATCCTAAATAAGGATTAACCTGATTGGACAGATAACGGAATTGTGAATGCACATAACAGGTTATTCGTGGGAATGAAAATTGAATTATAAATACATAATTAATCTCAAAATGGCATCATAAATTACATAATAGTCTAGTTGTTTGTTCCCTGTGGCTCAATTCATGTCTAATTTTTTTCTCAAACACTTCTAACGCATTAAGGATTACGATTACATGTGTTTCTCGATTACGGAAACACCAACTATCTGTACACCGATAAGAACTTTCTGTTGATCAAATCCTATCTTCGAACCATTCTTCTATCAATGATGTCATATCCATGATTGATTAGCGGTAGATACACTAATACGAATTTATCAGTGATTACTTCTAATAATAAAGGTCATGTGTATATTATGTAATGTCTGCGCATCGTGTAACCTTGAAAACAACGAGACCGTGACCCAAGAGTCACAGCTAAGCACAAGTCGTATGTGTTAACAATTAATGTCATCCACCCATATCATATTCAAGCATCATAGTGATTAATGGAAGCGAAATATCATTACATGTAAATTGTAGATTAATGGCCGAGATACAGTTCATTCAATGATTCATTTAATAAAAATCGTTGCGACCAATACATAAAAAAATTGCGAATATATTACGTAAACCCTGGAGTTGAATCTAATGTTATTCTGCCCTATCAATGATCGTTCCTAAGACGTTCATCAACATTCTTTGTCGATTTTTTTCTTAAGTGCCAACTGATCTTCGTTAGAAGATGGTGAATCTTTGTTCTTTGTCAAAATATAGCATTTCTGCTTGAGGAACATACATTGAGACGTGATCATCAGCTTCGTTAAAAATCCCATTCCGAAATTTTCACACCACATGCTTCCATTTCTTAAGTCTTAACTTAGATTAAGGTGACCGTATTCTAAAAGTAATTCTTTGGGAATATTAAACATCATTATTTCACATAAATTCGGTTTAGATAACATTTTTGCTCCTACTCTGCTGCCCATTAATTTCGTCATTGAAGTAAATGAGACGGACATACCAAAGTCCTGTCTCTGTGATTCATGCTCACATAAATACCATAATTGATAATAGACTTAGCGACTGCGATTAGTAATTGGTATGATTGTCGTGGGACCGGTGTGACTTCTCAGACAAAAATAGATTAAGCTCCCGTTATCACCACTTACTGCATTTTTTTTTATCTAATACTATATATGTTATCATATTGTGCGCAGATAATTTGGCAAGACGTTCTTTCCCATTTGTTGATTTCCGGAATGTTTTCGTGAGCAAAGAGTCTAGAGATTTTTTGTTGCCCGGATAATGTCTACAATAACGTCAATATACACATATGCGAAACCGATGTTGAAGATATTTCTAATGCTAGGATCCCATCATTCGGAATGCATTAATTCGTAATCCAAGAATGGAAGGGACAAACCCAAAATCCACATTGCGAAGCGATTTTCTTCAACGTTCCAATATGGTATTGATTTGATTATTTCTTAGGATTTCATTATCCCCAATCTTCATTTTTTTTTACTTTTTTTCGTTTCAAAAACTAATTGCGAATTAAGTGTTTCTTCGTCAATGATGTTAGTGGAACCTATAGAAAACCAGATCAGACTGAGACATTTTCTATAACGTGAACATCTCACACGAAATCATTGGCTTATATACTCTTTTTGTGAAACGTTATTGGCAGAGGTATCGAAAATTATTTGCGAACAAAAAATGCCATATGTGTCTGTTGTACGAATCAATCGAATCATGCCCTGTGTTCACATCATTAAAAAGTGATACCGCTACTTGATATAGTGCAACTGTAATTTATAATGTCCTGATGTAAACATAAAAGAGTAATGTAAATAACTGCAGAGAAAGAATATGAGGATGTCGACTGCAGATATTAACTTTCATGATGACCACCTTGCCATCAACCACACTTATTAGTCACAACGTAGAATTGCCTTAGGGTTATAGGGTATTATGGATGTAAATTGTGGAACTAATGTTTCGAAAATGGCTTAGTGTGTTAGCTTACAAAATTGTCCTTTCAACATGTTAGCCACTTGTTAGCCCACATATTTCGATTAAACTAGTTGCCTTACTTTACTCCATTTCTAAATCAACGTAATAAGCTTTTCATTGGAAACATCTTACGAAATGTTGAAACGAGAACTAGAGGCAAAGGAAAACTCATGCACCTAATTTTTTGTTCTTCTAAAGTTCCCATAACAAGAGACTGCTTGAAAGTATTATGACTATTAAAGATATGTCTCGACTACGCCAAGAATTTTGCTCTTTGAGCAATCTCTGACTGATTATAAAAAACATCCCAATAAATCGAAATCATGTGAACGACTGTTTATCCTTTTTTGAGATATCGTTTAATTATATCACTAACTTTTCCCAGATTAACATTGTTCCGCAACACTTCAAATTGCATATTGGAGTTTATATTGGGCATTTGTTTTTCTAATATGGCCTGTTTTATTTCATCCAATTTGTTTTCCCATTGAAGGTATTCAGATTCTTCAATAATATGTTGGATTTCGAGTTCTTTGATAATTTGGCCGATCCGTTCTCTAGTTTTAGGATGATCCTGTTCAAGGTCCATTATACATTGATGTTTGGCGACATGGGTGATAATGTCTATTTCTAGATAACTCAAGCTTTTATAGGCCTTGCTATTCACTATACCAGAAAAACGTTGGATAAAGTCACTTTGATATGGCGGACTAATAATGTTTACCAAGGGTCTACTATTATCATCTATTTTTATTACCTGTCCAACAAAGTACGTGAGATTTCATGAGAATAATTACGATGAATATTAAGAACAAACTTCAATGTAAAAATGGTCATCCAAGTGTTATCTTACCTTAAAGTCGAGTTTAACATATGTGCCTAGTAATTTCGTATACTTTTTTTTAAAGCGTAAGATATCTCCTTCTCTGATTCCCAGAGAACATAGTTCTGTTAACTCTTTTCCAACTCCCATAGTATGTGAAGGTGTATCTAAATAAAAAGGAAGCACACAAATGCCGTTTGTTTGCGAACGATAATTTTACAATAAAACAGAGCTCAAAGCTTACCTTGATTTTTACGCTCTTCTATAATTTTATTAATTATATGATGAAGCTCGTGAAACTCGTAAGAACAGATAAATACGGGTTTTTTAACAAAAACATGAAAATGGTTTTTATTAGGAGAAGGGCCGAAGATAAATTTAATAGTTTGTATTGGACTAAGCAATGCTTTTCCATGAAGTGTCTCTTCAACATAAGTATCAATATCTGGATGATTTTCGAGGTTCTGCAGTTTTGTTTCTTCGTCAAATGGAAGTTCTATTTTCCATAAATCAATGTCACTAGGGTCGGTATAACGAAAAATACTCTTCTTTTCTTTTCTAATCAAATACTTGAGGTGAGAAATCATTTCTTCCGACTCTGCGCTATTGCGAACGGATATGGGAAACTTTTGTGAATCTCCTTGGAGGAAGCACCAGAGCACATATTCTGACATAGTTGCAAAACTTATATTTCCAGGTGGAAATACCTACGGGTATTGTGTTTTCAATTTGAGAAGAAAAAACGATGAGAATATATGAATATATTCGCATGAAATTATAACCGGTATTAGACAATCGTAGATCACACATGGTACAATAAAATAATGAAATATGATTGGCTAACTTTACGTATAATGACGCAATAAATGACCCCTATTTTTTTGGAAGTAGAACAAACCAACAGAGTTATTTCCTAGTTCAGCTAGAATACATATGAAAATATGCTGATATATTGTTTCTCGATTGTAAATCTTGCAGGAGCATCAGTCGGAGACTGCCCAAAGGGCAAATGATAATTATATATTTTTATGCTGTATTGTGAAATCGGTTAGAAAAAACATGGACTCGAAACTAGTTGATTAAAACATCACATATATATCAGGAACAAAGCCCCAACAAATAACTGTTTTCCGTACTCAGAAGTTCAAAAAGGAGAAAAGCAGCGGCCATTATAAATGCCAACCTACGTTTCTCATCGTAATTTCTTCTATTTATTAACTCTACTCCATGTGAAAGGAATGTTTACAAGATCATTAAAACAAAGGAAATAATCGCACATGAAATCGATTAGAACTCCTTTGAAGCTTGTAATGTAAAATAATGGTTATTTCTGTTACCCTTAAAAATAACTAGCTTCTATGGAAAGAATATGGCGCATTGTCCTAGCCTGATGTTAGACTTTTTGTTGTTCAATATCAATTACCTTCTCTCGAAACAAACTATATCAAACATGTAAGTCGTATCCAAGTAACATATGTATACTAATAAAGAAATCAACAAGTAGCCTATTATTCTTCATCTATTTAATCATCGTAAATAGTACTACGATTTTACAAAATATCACGAGACAGAAGCTATTAATAATATAAGGAAGGATTCTCTGGTACCACATCATGCCCGAAGGGCCTTTAGTATACTTGTCTGCAAAAATATTCATTGGAATAGTTTGCGTATTCTTGGTTTCTTAGGGATAGTAACATCTAAAATATTTTTTCATGGAGGGATAGACTCGTGAGAACAAGTAGTAGACAAATACTATGCTCATCTCGGTTCCTCCCAGCGTTGCTTCCGAAACAATAACTGCTCATTTGTGTCTAGGGATTTTATTTTTTGTTCCGGCGGATAATTCAATACAGGTAAAAGGTATTCCACGGTATGGAATGATCATCACAAAGAAAAATAATTTAGCTGTCATCATGTAGTACAATGTTTGAGAAAGCCATAACTACGAGACAGTGTCCCTCTGGCCACTGTTAGCTTATTTATCGGACTGACAGAAAAACAATGCATCGAATAGTTCAGTAACCAACAACGTGTTATCATATGACACTCTGAACCCAGGAACATAGGTTCCTAGAATCTCCTCTTTTTAAAAGCGTGGTTGAGCGGCAAGAGCCCTTGGCTGCACCCCATTCAACCGATCGACAAAGGTTCTAACCTTGCATTTCATGTCTCAAGTGTCTAGGTTATATCCTTCGTGGTCCGCCCATGGTTTTGACCCATGTCCGTGATATACTTTGACTTGTCATGCTTTGTCATAGAAACAAATCATGCTAATTAATTTAATCCAACAATATATTATTATACTCACTTATAGTTTGTAAATTATAATCCTTTTGTCATATACGGACATTTATATCCGTGATATTTGTTGATGATGCTCCTTGTCAGATACGACCATGATATTTGTTGTCAATTGCTCATGATGATACTACTTGTCAGGTACAGACATTTATGTCCGTGATATTTGTTAATGATGCTCCTTGTCATATACGACCATGATATTTGTTGTCAATTGCTCATGATGATACTCCTTGTCAGGTACGGACATTTATGTCCGTGATATTTGTTAATGATGCTCCTTGTCATATACGACCATGATATTTGTTGTCAATTGCTCATGATGATACTCCTTGTCAGGTACGGACATTTATGTCCGTGATATTTGTTAATGATGCTCCTTGTCATATACGACCATGATATTTGTTGTCAATTGCTCATGATGATACTACTTGTCAGGTACGGACATTTATGTCCGTGATATTTGTTAATGATGCTCCTTGTCATATACGACCATGATATTTGTTGTCAATTGCTCATGATGATACTACTTGTCAGGTACGGACATTTATGTCCGTGATATTTGTTAATGATGCTCCTTGTCATATACGACCATGATATTTGTTGTCAATTGCTCATGATGATACTACTTGTCAGGTACGGACATTTATGTCCGTGATATTTGTTAATGATGCTCCTTGTCATATACGACCATGATATTTGTTGTCAATTGCTCATGATGATACTCCTTGTCAGGTACGGACATTTATGTCCGTGATATTTGTTAATGATGCTTCTTGTCAGATATGACCATGATATTTGTTGTTAATTGCTCATGATATTTCTTCATAATATTTGTTACTATTTAACTTTGCTTGCTAGAATGTATATGATATATTTTAGTGTTAATCATTTATATTTATATCATGCTTCACATTAGGAAATATTTCTTAAAGAAATTACAAAGGAGCATAGATACAAGACTTTCAATCAGAAAATCTCTTCAAGTCTCTTTTCTATCAATAAATAATTTCAATTTTTGATAAGAAAATTAATATTTGTATTTTTATAATAATAAATATTTATTATACTACTAAATCAACATATTAGAACATGAAAAATAAAATTTAACAAAATATTTTAATAAACATAAAATAATACAAATATATTTAAATACATTAGGCTAAATAATTAAAATAATCTTAGTTATTAATAAAATAGTATTCATTAAAGCCCTCTTCAATATTTTCATCAGAATCAGATTCCTCTACAAAATCCTCTTCAACATCTTTTTCAATGTCCTCTTTATTGTCATTTTCAAAATATTCTTCTTCAATATCTTCAAAATCAAACTCCCCTTCAATATTATTTTCAAATTCCTCGATATCTTCATTTTCAATTATTTGGTTTGTCAAATTACTATCTTCAAAAATCTTATTATACATGTACTGTGACTTTTTCAAATTTGTATTAGTCTTTTGCAATTCAATTTTTAAATAATAGTAAATAGCATTCTAATAGTACAAAAATAAATATTAATTTAATTATTGTACGTTTCATGATTTAACAAATAACTTTTTACCTTTTTTTCCAATTCAGCTATAACATTTTCAATTTTTTCATTTTGTTTAGCCCAAAAATCAACAAGTCTTGTAATTTCAGTTTTTAAAATATTTTGTTCTTCCTTACTTCGGTGTAGATTATGAAATTTTTGAATAGCATTATATATAACTATTTGTGGAATTTGAATATCCACATTTATATTAACATCTAAACTTATCCAAAAAGTTGATTGATTATTTAGAACTTCATTTATTAAAGCTAATGGATAACTAGCCTGTTGTTGTAGGGGTAAAATATTTCTTATATCATTATATCTAGATATCAATTGATTAATTTTAGAAATTGAATTTGCACTAGATATTTTGATTTTTGTAGAAATTTTAGTTCCTTAATTGAAATAGGTTGATTAATAAATTAACTGTTATTATTTATAATATTGCTTACAAATGAAATAAATTTATTTACCTTTATGATTTTTGTCATATAAATATGCTGTTTTAAAAAAATATTCATTCCTTTCATTTCTTAGTTTATTAATTATCATATTAAGCTGACTGATACAGTAATTAATAAGATAATTAGAATATTTAGAATCCATTGGATTCCAACGATGAGACTCAAGAATATTCAATTTTGATTCAAGACTTTCAATCTTTTTAAGAGCATTCAATCTTTTTTTCTCAAGTGTTTCCAATTTTTTGTTATCATTAGTTTTTGAAATATTATTACTAATAAATATAGAATAGTATAAATAATAATTTTTTTTTAAAAAATTAATTTTATAAAAAATATATACTAACATTATAGTATTAAGTTCCATCAATACTTCGAAATAAGCATCTTCACTTTTTAAATTATTTTTAATTGCTTGAATAATTGAATGGGAGTAAATAACAAATGAATAAATAAATAAAAATGTAATTAAAATAATATAAAAATTATGTTACATACTATATTCATGTTCTTTTTGCTTTTGTATTATTTCTTCAATTAATTGTAAAGTTATCTGATATTGTTGCTCAAATGTAGCCAGTTTTCCTAAAGAGTCTTTCTCTACCATTTGAGCATTTCTAAATCTTTTTAAAAGATTATTGGCTTTATTTTAAATACAATAAATTCGAGAAATTATTAATATGTTGACTTATAAACAGCGCAAAAGATAAAACAAATAAATGATTTACTTAATTTTTTAATTAATTTTTGGTATATATGTTCAAGTGCCATTCCTAAAATATCTAATCTATGATTTGATTTCATGTATTTAGTTATATTTACAAACTTTCCAAGGTATGACCACAATCTTTCCAATGATTCTCCATCAGTAAGGCCAATTGATTCTATAGTCCTTGGATGATAAATTTTTTGACAACTTGGTGTATGAGCATAAGCATGAAAAATTGATACTGCCCATTTAAATCGATCTTGATATAAATGTAAAGGATTATTGGACTTAGAAATATGAGCGTGAAATGAGCAAGCAATGTCATATAAAAAAATAAATTTTTGGTCAGAATTTGGAAATTTATGTTGAAAATTATCAATTAAGCATTCTGCTAAAATATATCTATAGAATTATTAAATAATAATTAGAAATAATTGTTTAACAAAATTTTGAACCCTAATTTGGAAATGATTTTGTAGATTCTTAACACAACGTAATATTATTACCTTTCTCCCATATTTTTTAAATTAAGAAATTTCAAGGGCACTCCATGTCTGCAAGTACTACCAAAAATACCAGTATCATCAAGAAATTTAGATTTATTAAAAGATCTTAATTGATCAGCAGCCTTAAAATTTGATTCACAAGACGTAATATCATTTTTTTTGTCCTTCTTTAAAAATAAAAAAAAAATAATATTAATTTTAAATTATCAGATAATTAATGTAACTGAATTATTATTAAATATTACCTGTAATTTATTATTATAAAATGATTGATTATTTGATACCCAATCTGAAAAGAATTCCTCTGAAATTATAAATCTATCATTAACAAGTCTATTTTCATAACTATTTCCTGAACTTTTTAATCTTCTGAGTTGAAAATTTCCATCAAAAGATATAATAGTAGTTGAATTATGTTCATTTGGCTGAAATATCAGTAAATTATAAATATAATAATTAATAAATAATAATTAGATTAATTAAATAAATATACAAATAATACCTGTGGGCATGCAGGACACTCAAAATTGTTTGATTCACTTTCATAAGATTTTCTTAAATCAGCTTGTAGTTTTGATTTAAAACCAAGATATTTATGAAATGCCGATATAAATAGAGTGTATATATTCTATCATATAATTATAAATATATATTTAAAATTTAAAAATTAATATTGAATACTGATAAGTAAAATACTTACTCGATTGATATTTTGACGATATTGAAATGCCTCCAGAACTTTGCAAAATGCCAAATGTGATACTTGTGCCTCAAAAAGTAACTGATAATACATATCAAATACATCAAATGAAAATGCTAAAGTTGGATTACAGAATGATGCTGGGAATAATTTGTTTTTAATTAAAGATTCTATTATCCCTTCACATATTGGAATTTGTATATAAAACCATCCTGAAAAAAAGTAAATAGAATTAAATTTAAAATAAATATAAAAAATATATATTTTATGTATACCTTTTAAACAAATTGCTAATATTCTATTCATTGGATGTTCACATTTTCCTGCACACAATTGTGGCAGTTTAATTTCATTTGAATTGAACTGATTATTATCAAGATATATGGAACAATGGAATAAATTAATTTTGTTATGAAAATGATTAAAGCAATTATTGCAATAGAATATTTTTGGTCCACAATCCAAGCATCTTAATATAGCAGTGTTATCACAATTAAAACAAGATGGGTTGTTTGGTACTGTTTCATTATCCAACATTAAATTATATATATTGTCTAATAAAGCTTTCCAATTTGCTGCAAGTCGGTCTTGCTTTTGCTGATAATTTGCTGTTTTGGGATTATTAAGTCCATAATTATCTAATGACCTAAAATCAAATCCAATATTTTCCAATTCTCCATTTGATTGTTCCTCATTTTTATTATTACTTAAACCTTTTGCTTGGTTAGAAAATTTAAATTTTTTTGAGCCTCGAGCATATTTGTTTATAACAGTTTTTCCACCATCTTTATTATTAAAAGAAACAGAATATGGCCTATAGTGTTTTGGTCCTTTAAAATTATTGAATAAAATAATTAGAATTACTGCATTATTTTTAGAAAAAGAAAATTTTATTTTGAAGTTCTAAAAGTTCACACCTAATTTTTCATTGCTTATTTTGGTTTTAAGTTTTGAATCATCTGACTTACTATTTTTCTTTAAATCAAATAAATCTAGTTAATATTGATACTATTGTTTTATCAAATAACCAAAATATAATATTTATAAAATATTTACTTTTGAAGATTCTGATTGCTGCATTTGTTTTAAATTTATCTTCAAGAGATAAAAAATTTTTGCAATTTTAAAAAAAAGTGGACATATAAATAAAAAAAATTGATATTAAAATGTGATCGTAATAATTGTATCGTACCATAGCAAAAATAATTGATATTGTTTGTAAAAGAATATATAACAAGCAATTATTGTACATAGTTAAAAAAAATTTAAATTATAACAAATGGATTAGCGATTGTATTTGCAAACAATTAAAGACATACTATAATAATAGATCAGGAATTGTATTGTTATCCATAAAAAATATAGAACAAACAATTATTGTAATTTAAAAAATTTTGATATATTACTGGTCTATGGGAACAAAGAATTAAAAATTAGATATGTAAAATCTAGATTTGTTAGTATCATGATCTAATTGTATCGTACTATGGCAAAAATAATTGATATTATTTGTGGAAGAATATATAACAAGCAATTATTGTACATAGTTAAAAAATTTAAATCATAACAAATGGTATTTGCAAACAATTAATTGTAATTAAAGACATACTATCATAATAATATATCAGTAATTGGTAGAACAAGCAATTATTGTAAAGTTTGATATATTACTGGTCTATGAGAACAAAGAAAAATAATGATAATAAATATCAGTTAAAGTTATATTATAGATTATAAGATAAGTGAAATCTAGATTTGTCAGTATCATGATCCATCTAAATACACATAATTTCATTAATAAGTATTAGCAATCATATAGTCTACGCAATAATTATTATATTTTTTTTAGTTAATTAATTCATTTGTTGCTATTAGCATTAATTTTCTGATTTTTAATAAAGGGAATAATATTAAAATCATAGGATGTGATAGTTAAATAATAAATAATATTTTCAGGTTTTATTTTTTATGACAATTAAGTGAAATATGAAAAGTTATAAGTAAAAAATAAAAATAACAGACAGTCATAAAAAAAGACTCTAAACGAGAAGAGACAAGGCTAGATTTATTCCTGCTTTCATTTTCTGGAGTTTTGGGAAGTCATGATTAGCAATATTTTTTTGAGGTTAACTACTGGTTAACTAGCTTAATTTGTAGCTCAAATAAAAGAATTTTAATAGTACAGGATGCTTTGATTTCACGAATTTCAAAAAAGTAAAAAATTACTAATCATTTTAAATTTAATAAAATCAAGATAATCGCAATTATTTTTTAATGCATATAAGTATTTTTATCTATCTTAGATTCTAGATTATCAAAATAAGCAAAACCAAACTATATTTGGAATATAAGTACAATCAGGCTTATTATTGATTAATTTCAATAATCTTTTTTATTAAAAAAAATTTTAGCTAAAAAGAATGTATTAAAAAAAGAAAGATGCCCATAAATTATACATAGTATTGTTGCGTATTACAATTATTCTTCTTTGTTATTATAAAATTTCTTAATTATTAATAAAGAATGTTATTTTTAGAATAATTAAACAACTATTTGCTATTGTTTATAAAATTGTAAATTTCTTTTTTTCGCACCCCGGTTTTGTGGGCGCGGTTTTTGGTGGGGTGTGATGTTTTATTCAGTGACAAATAAAGATCAGGCCGCTAAAAAAAACTAAGTCCCTCAGATACTTAATGTTTTTGAACTCGTGGCTGCACGTGATCAGGTGACAGTTAAATGTCACTTGTTCCTTATATGGTGAAGATCGACACAAACCGCGCCCACAAAACCGGAGTGCCTTTTGTTCTTTTAATTACGTATTTTATAAACAAAATAACAAACAATACTAGACATGTGGTGAATAACTAAGATTAGCTAATTTTATTTATTGATCTGAAACTGCTCCTTTTTATAGAACAATAGAAAACACGTTATATTTTTCTCTGTAAGTTGAATAACAATAATAAATATGATTGGTTAATCTTTGTTTTATTAGATGACGCACAAAAAAATTTTTTTTAATAAAAAAAAATTTTTTTTTAAAAGCCACGAAAAAATTTTTTTTTAAAAGCCACGAAAAATTTTTTTTTTTAAAAGCCACGAAAAAAATTTTTTAAATTTACTTAACTACACTATTTTCTAATTTTTTTAATATATAGTCAATTTTTTTTAATATATATAGTCTTCTTCGCTCTATTATCTTCATTTTTTTCATCTTTATCTCCCTATTATTTCATTTTTATTACTTTCATAAACCCATCATTTTTTTTCGCATTTTTTTTTTATCTTCACTTGCTTCCTCAAGACTTTTTTAAAATTTATTCGTTTGTATAATTTTAGAAGCTAATAATTATGGCTACTAAACCTTATAATGCAAATTCTTCCGAACCCTTAATGCTCACAGATGATGACCAAAAAGAAATTAATGCTTCTTTGTGCTTACTCTGGACGAAATTTGATGGAAGATTAAAAAATGTTGTGATTCAAGATCAACGCGCCTTTATTAATTATGGCAAACACCAAGAAAAAATTGTAATAGACTTGGTTAAGTCTAATTGTACTATTGTTAATAGAAATATATTGAATGAGGAGAATAGAGTATGTTATTATATCTGATATGTATTTGTTAATATTTTGATCTAATGATTTAATTTGTTATTATTTATTAAGGTGGAAAAGCTACAAAAGGAGTTTGATTTAAAGAATAATAATACGATAAAAAAATATAACGAAGCAATAAAAAGTTTGAAAGTAAGCAAAAACAAAATAATACTTTTTCTTATTTAATTCATATAATTAATTTATTTTTGTTAGGAAAAACTTAATGCTTCAGAAATTCGAGCTAATAAAGCAATTGAAGATTTACAAACCTACGAAATACATAAAGAAGCTCTTAAGAAAAAAATAGATTCTGAACAAGTAATAATTGAATTATTTTATTTTATTAATATGATGAATAAATTATAATTTAATTATTACTAATAAAAATGCTTTTAATAAATTATTAGACTAATAACGCTAGTCAATCATTAGAAGATGTGTCTCAAACATCTTTATTCAAAACTAATGTTGTCAATAATAATACCAATAATGAAGGGCTAGATATAATACTAACTAATGATGTTAAGTTAATGAAGTGTAAGTTAGATGATGACATTGATTTAATCTGGGAGGAATTAAATACACGACTCCATAAAATGTTTGGTTACGCAGAAGAAATAAAAAGAGGAGCAATGTTAGAAGACCTAAATTGGGCTCACGAAACCTTACCTGCATACATAAATTGGGACCGTATGAATAATTTACGTCCTATGATAAAATTTTGGTTACAAAAAGTTAATAAACAATTAAAAAAATTATCAAAGCCATCATCGGCATTTACAAATCATCCTATTAACAAGAATACTTCTGAAGAAATTGAGGATGATAAATCTGGTGAAGAATTAAATTTTAAAAAAAAAGAAAAAGGTAAATATTTAAATAATATTTAAAATTTTTATTATTTTCCTTAATATTAATTTATTATTTGCATTTATAAAGCCCTTAAAAATAGGGATAAAAAAATTGAAAAGTTTATACAATATGGACAAGAACTTCGTGAGAAGGCCATTAAAGCAATTCAAGACGACTCCCAATTAGCAACCAATAACAATGATTCTCTCGTTAATTATAATCGGAACTTAGTGAAGTCATTTGAAGTATTTTCAAATGAACCAATTAAGATTATTGATATAACATCAGCTGAGAAACGGGTTTCTCAGTGGATTTCACAAAAAGAAAGTTCTGATAAGATTGAGTCAGCGCTTAAAGTTTATAAATTTTACCACAGAATTAATTTAATTTACATCTATGAGGAGTTCAACCAGTTTGTTACAAATAAGTATGCTGATGATGTTGAAAAACAGGAGGTCCTAGAACGACAATTAGAACGAGATATGTTCTGCGCGTTACAACAGATAGCGCCACGAACGGAGCGTTGAAGAAAGGAGAGTTCAAAAAGATTGCGAGATTTAATTGATGCAGGCATCACATTTGACCAAATAGTCGACATCGGTATGACCATAACAGATTTCGAAACAGATAACATTTATTATTTGAAATTTCTATCAGCTCTTGACCTTCAAACGATTAAAAATTCATGTGAAAGTGATGATGATGTATCAGTCGAGCGGCCAAATCCAAAAATAATGTTAAATAAACTGACCAAAAGTATTAATAAAATTTCTAGTTTAAAAATTCAAGAAATTAATGAGCAAGGCGATAGGGATGAAAATGATGTTGACAATATGGAAGTAGATATTGTTAATTGTTAATATTGTAAATGTAATTTAGTAGTTACATAGTGGGTTTATTAAAAGGATAGGGCAAAAACGTAGGGTTCGACGTTTTTAATTAAAAAACATTTTTTTATTTCTTTTAATGAAAAAGTGTCAGTATATAAATGTAATAAAAGTTACTTTCTTTTACTGCTAAAATTAAAATTTATATTAGCGGCAGATACCCAGATTTAAGAGGAGTGAAATAAGTTAAAGGAATTAGAGAAGTTTGCTGTAGAGCAAATTCGCAATGAGGGACCTCAGGTCTTTTAGCAGCTTTAACAAATTTTTTTAAGGGCGGATGTTATATGTGCACAGAGTTATTAATGACATTTTTAAGAGACTTTCCAAGATTTAAGATAGTTGTATACCGAGATAATAGTAAAATATATCTAAGTTTTCAGCGCTTACTTACAAGGGAGGACAAAAAAATTGACGTCTTTGTAGCTTGAATGTAAATGGAGACAATCTACGCGGGGCCATCTATAATAGACCAAAATTGAAACGGGTTTTTTAATTTAGGTATAAAATTATGGTTAGTAGAATTAGCATAGTATATAGTTTAGTATATATAGCCTTTAGAATAGTTTAAGTATTAATTTTTATAAGTACTTCCAGAAATAATATGGAGTTAGTGGATAGTATTACAAAATTTTATAAATAAAGAATGTGCGTTACAACAAAAAAAAATAAATAAAATTTATATTATTTTTTATTCTTTATATTTTTAAAAAAAAATACTTTTTTTTAAAAACATTAATCACTTTTCCATTACGGATAGTCAATTTTTTTCAAACAATTATATAATTTCAACTTGTATTACAAACACAACGCTTAAATGAATGATGATGCAATGATCATTGTACTGAATTTTATTTTCAAAATAATATATATATTATAAAATATAAAAATAAAAATAAAAAAATAAAAAATTTTATAAACAGAAAAGAATTATAATATAAAAATGTAAAAATATAAAAAAAATATAATAAAAAATATAAAAATAAAAATAAAATAAAAAATAGAATATAGATAAAAATTTTATAAAATAGAAAAAGAATTATAGCATAAAATGTAAAATATAAAAAAAATATAATAAAAAATACAAAATAAAAAATAAAAAAAATTATTTAATGATAATAACGGTGTCGGTCTCGATCACGGGGGTAAGGGGAATAATTGCGCCTGCGCTCTCTACGCTCTCTACGCTCTCTACGAGGAGATCTAGATCTAGAGCGCCCGCGCTCGTGACGGTGATGGGAGGATCGGGATCGAGAGCGCCTGCGCTCTCGATATTCGTATCTTCTACGGTCCACCTGATTCCTCCTTGCAGCACGAACTCTTGCTAAAAATAAAACAATTAGTTAATTATAAATGTGATAAATTAAATAAAAAAAAATCAATTAAATAATAAATAGTTACGTTCGGCGAGCCAGAATTCATCTGACAACTCTTCATGAAAATGTTCATCATGAAGAGTTGGGGTGTGCGTTGGAAATCCTTCTGGATTTCCATTTAATAATCTTTTTAAATTTTCGTATCCCGACTTTAATGAGTTCCACTTAGTCCTGCATTGTTTTTTTGTCGGGGCGAAGTTTGGGTGGTCCAAATTTATATTTTGAGCTACTTGGTTCCAGATTTGTTTTTGTTCATATATTGGAGTTCTACAAAATTCTTGCTGAAAAAACCGCCGATATTGAATTAATGAGAGAATACCGTCATTCGGCCACGTAACGTAATAATTAACTACTCCAATTCCACCACCAGCATTTAATTGGGCCATTTTTTAGTATTAAAAATATTATTACAAATAAAAAAAAATATTGCGAATAAAAAATAAAATAAAAATTATTATTACGAATGAAAAAAAAAAATATAATGAATATAAAAAAAATATTATAATAAAAAAATGTTTTGTGAATAAAAAATATATTATAAAAAATATGAATTATTACGAGTGAAAAAAAAATATAATTATGAATATAAAAAATATTATTACTAATAAAAAAAAAAAAATATTATGAATAAAAAATATTACGAATGAAAAAAAATATTTGGAGTGATTGAAAAAAAAGTATTTTGAAAAACAATTGATTTAATTGAGAGTGATTGAGAAAAAATTATTTGAAATGAGAGAAATGGAGAAAAGGCTCTATATTTATAATAAATTTCTTGAACTCTATATTACGATCTTGCGTAGCAACAATTTACAAATTTTTATGATCTTAATGTAATTATCTGCATATTTTTTTCTAATTACGCTATATTCGAAGCATGTCATATTAAAAAATTTACTCAAATTATATGATGATCATTTAATGTAATCATAATTTTTAAATCCTGCATGTCATTGTATTGACATTTTTTTCTGATTATATTAATTAACAAAAAACAGGGTTCATGATAATTATCTTTGCCATTTGAATATTTGCTATTCGAAGATTTGGAAGGACGTATAGATTTTATTAAGTGGTATTATTCAAAGAATACTTATGCTAATTATGCATTGCAAAATAAAAATAATTTTTATTGTGGTAATTTTAAAATTGAATTTTTACTGATGTATTTATTCTAAAATTACTATTTTAAACAAACAAAAAAGAAATATTATTTTTGATAAGGTCGATCACAAGTTTTATCAGCAGTAGAGAATAATTTATATTAAAAAAAAAAAAATTTTTTTTTTTTTTATTGTAAATCAATTAAATATTATTTATTTTTTATAATTTATTTTATTTAATACATAATTACAATTATGACTATTTATCTGATATTTTAAAGATCGTATTTGACTATTTAGATCTTTAATACGACCTTCAGCTCCAAACGCCCGTTGAAGATTTTTCTTACTATCTTGAGAAATCTTACTTTCCCTTGCTATAATTTTAAACAAAAAGTTAAGGATATTGATGCTAAACCTGTCTCTTATACACATCTAGATGTGTATAAGAGACAGGTACGGTATTGTTCATACTTCATAGTTAATTATTATCAGTTTTAATGACAAACTAGTATGACATCGATGTTCAATATATACTAATATTATTTATTTTTTATAATTTATTTTATTTAATACATAATTACAATTATGACTATTTATCTGATATTTTACAGATCGTATTTGACTATTTAGATCTTTAATACGACCTTCAGCTCCAAACGCCCGTTGAAGATTTTTCTTACTATCTTGAGAAATCTTACTTTCCCTTGCTATAATTTTAAACAAAAAGTTAAGGATATTGATGCTAAAGTCCATATTCACGAAGCTTACCTCTTATTAGTGAATTCTGCTTCTCCAAATCTTGTATACGTTTGTCCTGGGAGACCTCAATCTGTCCCAAATTATTGATGAGTTGCTGCTGTTGTTGCAACTCTCCCTGCAGTTGTTAGAGTTGTGATTGTTGTTCCATTATTTTATCATCTTGCAACCCTATATGTTTTTCTAGTTGAGAGATATAAACTGCCGAAGCAGTCCAAAAAGGAAGAGGAGAAGGGATTAACTATGCGCACTCGTTAAGTAAATTATGTTCATTACTGTACCAACTTCATCCATGACGTCTACAGTATCCTTTAAAAGACAAGGAAAAATGAACCAAGCGAGAGCATCTACAGTCAACTTTAAGCACAAGCCATATCCATTGGTACAGCTCCGCCACCGAACAATAACTTACCATTTTTATCATGACGACTTAATGGTTCCCTTATTTCTTTTTTTCGTTCTCTTCTTTTTGCCTTTATTCATTCCAAGGCCTTTCTTTTGGAACTATACGAGCGGTGTACTTTACCCATAGCGAAATAACAAGAAAAGTTCGCAAAAACATTTGGTGGGTATTTTTTTTTTTTTGAAAAAAATAAAATATTTTTCTTTTTAATAATAACTGTGGGAATAAAAATATTGAAAATAGAACTGATCAGCCGATTATGGGAAAATCCATAAATTAAATAATATAAGTTCAACTTTTATGTATTTTAAATTAAGTATATTCGGATAAATTATAATAAAATACATTTATTTAAAGGCTATTTTAATTAGTATTTAACAAGATGAAAATGATCGATATCGAGCGATATAATACAGTGATATCGATACTATATCAAATATGTATATAAATAATATTGTCACCTGAATAAGTATCGTTGCGATGTAATATACATATCTATGAGATTGTATTTTCGTTAATATAATTTGCGCTCTAAGGAAAAAAATTTTTTTAAAGAAAAGAAACAAATTTTACAATATCGTTAGTTTAAAAAAAAGATTGATTGCAACGAGTATCATGAACAAAGAAGCTTGTGAAACAATAGGAATTTGTGAAACAGATCTCAGGGGAATCTTACCACACTATCCTGTCACAATATAAATAGTACTTTAAACGTGGTAGTACAGGTGACATTAATGCAGTGACAAATAGAGATCAGGCTAGTAAAAAAAAAACACGTCCCTCAGAAACATAATAAAAAACGTAAACATGTTAGCACGTGACAATGTGATAAAATCATCACAGGGAAGTGTGGTAAGATGTCACTTTCGCCCACCTCCTTTATTTACTTTTTAGGTATCGGAACATCAATATAGAGTATACCGATAATTAGAACTTAATTCGATCTTAATTTACTCCGTTTTGAGAATACCGCAAAATAATTGGCTGGTGACCTATGCACTTGACTGGAATCTTGATTTGAATACCGATAAGTAAAAAATCCAGGAGAATTTTAATAATTCCGATTTACGCAGATTATCTCTAAAAACGCTATTTACCGGATTGTCATATCGTCACATGATACGATACACCAATTTTAAAAGATGGTAATTAATAATGCCAATCCTAGCTAAGCCACTTGCAAAATTTGCAAGTCGCTAAAGTTCCACGATGACGTTGACTTTGCTATGGAGGAACGTAAGATTCCGACCATAATTTCTAGCTGATTCAAATTTTAAATGATTTATTTTCGAACAATTTTACCAAAAGTGAGTTAATTTTTGTTCTTATTTAGTTTTAAACCTTTATTTGGTTTAGTTCGGCTTTTTTTTTTCTATTTTTTTTATCTTTTATATACTAAATAATTCTCTTTCACTAATATTTTATATTATTAACAAAGTTCTGCTCATTATACTATACTATGTGTGTGTTTACCATATTTCCTGTAGCCTGTTCTTTGAATGTTCATGCATAAGCTGAGATCCAATTTTGTATTGTTGCTATCTTAGAATATCTTTAGCTTCTAATTCACCAGAATCAACGAACATTAGAAGTTCATTATACATAACTTTACCGACATTTTATCCTTTTGGTTGAGGTTTTCATTCAAAAAAAACTTTTCAACAACTCCTTCACCTTCTTTTTTATTCTTTTTCCTTCCCTTTTCTCCTAATTTTGATTACTTTTCAACGCCTATCCCATAGGAAATTGAAAATTCACGTTAATAGAATTAATTCAATGCAAAAAAAGTAAGATTATAATTTGAATTATATCTGTTTAAGCTTCATATTTATTACCTTAAATCTAATTCATTATTACTATTATTATTATCCATAAATTCAGGTATACTAGCTGATTCTATATTTATAAAATATGTTAGTCATATATGTTTATGGAAAAAAATAATCTATTTCAGTTGATTTACCTGGTAGAGAATTGGTCAGGTTCAGTTTGTTCAGAAATCTTTGGACCAAAATGTGGAAGTGATCGGGCGCATATATAACCTATCATTTCACCAGAAATTGGCCATCTCTAGTAAAACAAATTTGAAATACCTAATACCTTTTATAGTTTGGTTTCGAATTTAGTTCTTTTTTTTTTAACATTGTTTAAATTTTCATCTACAGGTTCAAATTGATTGGTTTAATTTGCTAGCGATGTACCAGATAGATGTTCTCCATCACGGATATCATATCCAATCCGAATATACGTTTGATTGCATTGGAAATCTAAAATAAAGGGTAATTTTAAATATAAAATTTATTGAAAGTTATTTATAACAGTAGTACTTACTGCAGCATGGTGGGAATCAATTGTTGTTTTAGCTTCTCCTGGCTTAAGAAATTGCCAATCTCAAACATCAATTCGATACCATTCATTCCAATGTGCGACTATAGCCATAAGTTCTGATGAATGATAATGTGCTCCATTATCTGAGATTATTCTAATCCATTTTGGTTTGTTTTATTGTTTCAAAAATAGCTTCAAAAGAAGATGGTATCAGTTAACCAGTGATCGTAAGCCCTTACATCTAATTCTTTTCAATAAAGAAAGAGAAACATTAGTTTGACATTTCTAATCAAAATAAAACTGGAAGGAATCTACAAAAGAGTAGAGACAAGATAATTAACATTTCTTTAAAAAAAAAAATAAAATAATTTACCATTTTGGCGTTCAAATATTTAAATCTGAAATTAAAAAAAATAAAATTAACACAAGTTTTGTTATAAGTTAAAGAAAAAATATTATAAATTGTATACGTTAAAAAAATTATTATAAATAATTTTACTACCATCTAACAGTTACCTTTAAGAGGGAATAGTATTTTAAAGGCCCAGTCGCATCCTACCTGATCACCTAAAAAAAAAAAAGAAAAGTCAAAACGTTAAAAATGTTTCGTTATAGATATAATTTAAAAAGAAATTCTAATATCTACTGAGATCTCAACTTCATGAATCCGTTTCCAAAACAATATTCAAACCAAACTTTCTGTCATCAATCCGGTAGTCCTGATTAGAAAAATTGAAAGTTAGAAACATTTCAATAAAAAAAAAATTACGATAAAAAACACACAATAAAAAAAAATAAAAACCCATCTCTGTTTCTACAATCACAGAAATCGAACCTAGAAAAAAGAAGGTTATTTAATAAAAATTAATACTACCTATATTCTTAAAAACAAAAATATTGATCATCCACTTTAATTGAATTTTATGCAACTGGTTGTATTTCAACCTTCCGAGCCTTAAAAGAGATCTTTTTAATGTAACAAAAAGAATCGTTTATGGCGAAATGAATTGAATTGAAGATAACTACAAAAAAAAAAGGGAAAGAGTTAAAAAAAATAAAGAAAAAAATTCTCTAAATTCATTATTCACCTCCAGGACGCATAGACAATGGTCAAAATAAAATCTGAGTCCTACATAAAATCAAAAAAAAAATGAATAAAAATGTTTTAAAATAGTCTTCGAACCTTAAATCGCAAATTTACCTAAGATACGGTATTTCTAAATCATGGTCAGAGTCCTACAAAATAAAAAAAAAGTCGTTAATATATAATGCTTTTTTCTTTAAAATGAAGTTTTTCAAAACTTACTCAGAGTTCTGAGGCCATAATAGATTCCTATAGGATAGAATAAAACGTTAAAAAAGTATAATAAAGTTTTCAAAATAATCTTTGACCTGCCTGAAATTCATGTTTCAAATCGGAAATTCCTATAAAAAGTCAAGAAAAAGAAAAAAAAATCAGCAATCATTTAATCATTTCATTAAAAGAACTGATTCAAATTAAAGAAAAAAAAATTCTCTCACAAATTTCCTACACGTCCAAAAATCTGAAAAACTGAAATCATTATAAAATTATTATTTCAAAGTAAGACCCACACAAATTTTTCACGCATCTAAATATTCCAAAGAACAAGTCTCTACAAAAGAAATAACGAAATGTTAGTGATCGCTTCATTAAGAGTTAATTAAAAGTAAAAAAATCTTCCTCACCAAATTTCCACGTGTCCAAACACTTGAAAAAACTGGCTGACTGCAAAAAAAAAAAATGAAATGTTAAAAATGCTTTATTAAAAGAATAATTATTTAAAGGAAAAAACAATCTCACTGAATATTCTACACATCCAAGTGTTTATAGGAACTGACCGTCTACAAAAAGAGAAAAATAAATGAAACATTAGAACCGTTTCGTTGATAGAAACAAAAAAAAACTTCAGAATCCTCACCAAAATTCTATAGTAAATTTAAAAAATTTATTGGAGAATCTTAAAGATAGAAGTCAAGTGTATTTTGAACTTTACTGGGATTTAAAAAATAAAATAAAATAAAAGTATTAGCGATCATTTCACAAAGAGAAAAAACTAAAAAAAAAAACTCCCCTACCGAAATTCTCGCATAAAGAATGGTCACCTAAAAAAAAACAAAAAAAAAAAAAATAGAAATTATTAGTATATCTTTCGTTGCAAGAAAAGATTCAAAAAAATTCTTCATTACCTTTAACAGATAAGGTGATTTACTCAAAAACCATGATAATACATAGATATTAACCTACATAAGAAAAAAAAGAAAAAAATAACTGATAATAATTTCTTCAAAATAATTAAAATAAAAAATTCGAAGTACATACTTCAAAACTCATAAAGAAGGATCCTAACTCAACTTTAATAAAAGATTCATTTTTTTTTATTCAGTCCTATAATGTAAAATTCGATCTCATCCCAACCCGCTAGTAAATGGGTGGCCTTCCATAAATTCCAAACAAGTCCTCAAGACATGTAACTTGAAGGCCAGAGCCAACCATACGAAATTGTCTGGTAATACTGTAATAGTTGATCCATGCAACCATCCTATTAATTTATGTAAAAATGGGTTTCGGGAAAATTCAGAAAATCTCGGAAAAATTAAAATTAAATAATTGGATGATCATTACATCAAATTATATCTTATTTGAAAGCTGGATTTATTATTGATAAATTAAAAATAAATTTTAATTTAGTAATTTTTTTATATTTAGGCTTATAATAATATATATGTATTTATCTGCATAAAATTTTTTTTTATTTATACTCTTCCATAATATTTGAGAAATTTTCAGTTAATTTATATATGGTATACTTTTAATTAACTACATGTGTCTTTGTAATTTATACTATTTTTTAGCTTTTTTACTATATACCGAAATTGAGAATAAAATTCCCATCATTCTACCACAAATGTTTCTATACTGCTGATTTTTTGACATTAACTTTTTTACATTATTGTTGATAATATTTGAATGTTATTAATTAAAATTCAATTCACAAATGCTTCATAAACTTAATGTGTTTTTCTATTTGAAAGTAAATGTTTATAGCTAAATCTTTCCAAAAATAATAAACTGTATAACTACAAAGATATCATAATGCCAAACCACCCTCGGTTACATGGTGACATTTAGCGTCGCATGTCACGTAAATTTATCTGGGGACTTAGATTTTTTTGAGTGGTTGATCTTTATTTCATCTAGTTTGTTTTGTGCAAGTTTTCAATAACGATTAATGATGATTTTTGATGAAATGGGAAGTATATTAGTTGTGGTTAACAGTGATACATGTGTAACCGAGAGTGTGGTAAGACCCGTAAAAGTCAATTTCACAATATATATTTACCATTTAAGGTTACGATGTTATACAAATTGGTGATATTACCTAGAAATTAACTAGCCAAATTTGTATTACTCCGCTGAAAAATAGTGTAACCAATTGCTTAATATGATTAGTTAAAATTTTTTCTTTAGCGATGCTGGATACAAGAAATGTAACAATAACAATATTGATTTTTTTACTAAAATATTATTTATATGCCGGTAAGTATTTATTTTAAAAGTTTAAACAAAAAAAAAGATACTAAATTATGGTGGAATAGCGTTATGAAACTAACATGAAACAATGTTAACAACTTTTTCTTTTTTAGATTTTTAGATTAATATTAAACAATTCTCATATTGTAAACGTTTAATTATTAGCAGTTTTCGGTATATTGTGATTACTAAGTGATTATGATTACAAGACGATTACAGGACTATTGCAAGACAACATTATCCGATTTTTGTCCAGTAATTATAATAATCCTTTATTTTAAATATTGTGACTCACATTTTTAATAAATAAAATAATATATTTCTTCACAGGATCATGTGATTTGGCGTTAATCTGTGCTATTAGCATAGATCCGACTTACTGATGGGATCTCGATTTTTTTCTTAAAAAACCAGGAGCAATTATTTCTAAATATTCCATATATTGCAAAATTATTCACAATATGGATAGGTACAATTACATGAAAAGAATGTTCACCATTGTATTTTTTTATGAGTTAACAAATTATATCTTTATATTGAAAACTGTATATACTGTAGTGACAGTGACAATAATGATAATTTTAAAGTAGCAGGTAGTGTTGATAAATAATTTGCATAATTAATTTTAATGCTTTAAATATTTATCTAGTATTTTGATTATTTATTTTAGATTTAAGTCCAGAAGTGTTTGAAAAAATCCAGTTATTACAAGAGAAACATGATACAGAAATTGAATTATTAGCAAGCGAACTTAACTTACAATCTCATTTTATAAAGGTTAAATTCATGTTTATATTTGATAAAAATCAAGATCTAAATTTAAACATACTTTAATTAAATTTATTTCTATATAGGATATTATGAAAGATTACCGGGCACCAGCAATTAAAAAGCCAAGAAAAATTAGTGGATTTAATGTTTGGCAAAATAATTGGTGGGAAAATGTAGGAAAAAGTATGATATTAATTATAAAAGTATAAATTATGATTTTAAATTTATTGGAAATTTAAATACTAAATTCTTAATCTTACTTAGGTATGCAAATATTGGATTCAGGTGCACAACAAATGTGTGCAAGTTCATGGAAAGAATTAAATGATGATGATTGCATTCACTTTGAAAATGAGGCAAAAAAACTTAACAATTTAAAAGATAATGAATCTTATATAATTAATGCAAAAGCAAGAAAAACAAAATTGGATAAAGCAATTCAAGAAATGAGAAAAATGGTATTTAACTTTTTGTTTTTGTTTTAACATTTTGATTAAAATATTTAATAATTTACTGATTAATTTAATTATAAGTTCCGATTATTACAAGTTACATGTGGTATGGAGTTTATTGCTATTACAGTATCTAATAATAGCGAATTAAGAAGTCACTGGTTTGGATCAAGTATCGGTGAAGAGTTTTATCACTCATATAATATTTTAAATGAAGCAATTATTCCGTTTCATTGTTTTTCTATTTTGAAAAAACAAGGTGAATATCTATTTTTTTTTTTTAATCATTTTAATTTTATATTTACTTAAATTTGTTTTTTGATTTATAAGAAAAAGATGGAGTAATTAAATCTATCACTGGAACTAGTAATAATGCATTGGAAAATATCATGAATCCTACTAACCCTGAATCAACACCAACTTTGTTAAATTATATAAATTATGCAAAGCCAAATAGTAGAGAAACAAGGGATAAAGTTAGGGCAATCCTAAGAAAAAAATTTGGTATGTTTAATAAAGTAAATATGATGATTCTGATATTATTAATAAAAGATTTAATTAAACTATATAGATGAGGATGTGCAAGGAGGAATAATTCCATATAAAAATTGGAAAGAACAAATCTTGTATAAGATTGTAGGATGGCCATCAGATGTTGAGTTCAAAGATTATGCGAATCTCAAAAGTGATGAACGATCTAAAGTATTAGAATCACTTGATAATATTAAATTTGGATTTCAATAATTTGGCAATAAACTAATAATATTTGCTTTAAATGTTTTATTTATATAATGTAATAAAATGGAAGCAATATAAAACTCAATTTATTAAAATGATACAATTATTTACAACTTTCCAAAGGATATTATACTAATAATGATTATAATTTACAGTAACAATAAATAGGCTTATAATGTAAAATATAAGCTTCCAGATATACGGCCAATGCAAACTGGGAATATTACTTATAAACTGAATAAGAAAGTCACTGACATCACCTTTAAATATCATAAACATAATTAATAAAAAATGTTATATATAAATATTACAAACTGGGTCTGGTACAAAATCTCGAACCCTAATGCTGGTCAAACACATCACATGACTCTGTATAATTCTACATAATGCAGGCCATTTGTCAGGATTTCGTATTTTGATCCGCCAGGATTTTGTACGGATCCTTATAAACTAATTAACAAGAAATGTTATATACAATATTATAAATATTTGTATTTATGCCCAAAAAACTACAGTCGGACCTCTATGTACTGATACTGTTGTTTTGGGAAAATATATCGGTATATCAAATTATCGTTACATAACCGTCATCAGTGAATCATAATGCGGGCCAAAATCCAATTCTTGCCAGCATTATGTAAACTCTGGATAGCTAATATATTAAATGTCATGTGATTTGGATGGAACCTTTATGTTAACTCCGGCCAAATTCATAGTGTTGACCCGAATTAATACCAGTGTAACATAAAGTATCGGTACATCTTACTATGTATTAATTATAAAGGGGCAAAGAAAAGTATCGGTATATGATCGTGAAACCATATATAATATCGGTACAATGAGATTTTTTTATTAATTGTGAAACGGGACATAGAAAATTTATCGGTACAGGCAATTATCGGTACATAGGATATCGGTACATAGGTCTGACTGTAGTTGACAAATATTATTAAATATCTAAATTTAATAAAGAACATTATAAATGGGTTATGGAGAAACTGACAATAAGTATAATGAACAATGTTATAACGGTTATTTATAGCTAATCTTAAAGGTTATCATAAGACAAAGGGTAAGTGTAACAAATATTACGGACATAAATGTCCGTGCTTGACAAAGGTTATCATAAGACAAAGGATAAGCATGACAAATATCACGGACATAAATGTCCGTGCTTGACAAAGGTTATCATAAGACAAAGGATAAGCATGACAAATATCACGGACATAAATGTCCGTGCTTGACAAAGGTTATCATAAGACAAAGGATAAGCATGACAAATATCACGGACATAAATGTCCGTGCTTGACAAAGGTTATCATAAGACAAAGGATAAGCATGACAAATATCACGGACATAAATGTCCGTGCTTGACAAAGGTTATCATAAGACAAAGGATAAGCATGACAAATATCACGGACATAAATGTCCGTGCTTGACAAAGGTTATCATAAGACAAAGGATAAGCATGACAAATATCACGGACATAAATGTCCGTGCTTGACAAAGGTTATCATAAGACAAAGGATAAGCATGACAAATATCACGGACATAAATGTCCGTGCTTGACAAAGGTTATCATAAGACAAAGGATAAGCATGACAAATATCACGGACATAAATGTCCGTGCTTGACAAAGGTTATCATAAGACAAAGGATAAGCATGACAAATATCACGGACATAAATGTCCGTGCTTGACAAAGGTTATCATAAGACAAAGGATAAGCATGACAAATATCACGGACATAAATGTCCGTGCTTGACAAAGGTTATCATAAGACAAAGGATAAGCATGACAAATATCACGGACATAAATGTCCGTGCTTGACAAAGGTTATCATAAGACAAAGGATAAGCATGACAAATATCACGGACATAAATGTCCGTGCTTGACAAAGGTTATCATAAGACAAAGGATAAGCATGACAAATATCACGGACATAAATGTCCGTGCTTGACAAAGGTTATCATAAGACAAAGGATAAGCATGACAAATATCACGGACATAAATGTCCGTGCTTGACAAAGGTTATCATAAGACAAAGGATAAGCATGACAAATATCACGGACATAAATGTCCGTGCTTGACAAAGGTTATCATAAGACAAAGGATAAGCATGACAAATATCACGGACATAAATGTCCGTGCTTGACAAAGGTTATCATAAGACAAAGGATAAGCATGACAAATATCACGGACATAAATGTCCGTGCTTGACAAAGGTTATCATAAGACAAAGGATAAGCATGACAAATATCACGGACATAAATGTCCGTGCTTGACAAAGGTTATCATAAGACAAAGGATAAGCATGACAAATATCACGGACATAAATGTCCGTGCTTGACAAAGGTTATCATAAGACAAAGGATAAGCATGACAAATATCACGGACATAAATGTCCGTGCTTGACAAAGGTTATCATAAGACAAAGGATAAGCATGACAAATATCACGGACATAAATGTCCGTGCTTGACAAAGGTTATCATAAGACAAAGGATAAGCATGACAAATATCACGGACATAAATGTCCGTGCTTGACAAAGGTTATCATAAGACAAAGGATAAGCATGACAAATATCACGGACATAAATGTCCGTGCTTGACAAAGGTTATCATAAGACAAAGGATAAGCATGACAAATATCACGGACATAAATGTCCGTGCTTGACAAAGGTTATCATAAGACAAAGGATAAGCATGACAAATATCACGGACATAAATGTCCGTGCTTGACAAAGGTTATCATAAGACAAAGGATAAGCATGACAAATATCACGGACATAAATGTCCGTGCTTGACAAAGGTTATCATAAGACAAAGGATAAGCATGACAAATATCACGGACATAAATGTCCGTGCTTGACAAAGGTTATCATAAGACAAAGGATAAGCATGACAAATATCACGGACATAAATGTCCGTGCTTGACAAAGGTTATCATAAGACAAAGGATAAGCATGACAAATATCACGGACATAAATGTCCGTGCTTGACAAAGGTTATCATAAGACAAAGGATAAGCATGACAAATATCACGGACATAAATGTCCGTGCTTGACAAAGGTTATCATAAGACAAAGGATAAGCATGACAAATATCACGGACATAAATGTCCGTGCTTGACAAAGGTTATCATAAGACAAAGGATAAGCATGACAAATATCACGGACATAAATGTCCGTGCTTGACAAAGGTTATCATAAGACAAAGGATAAGCATGACAAATATCACGGACATAAATGTCCGTGCTTGACAAAGGTTATCATAAGACAAAGGATAAGCATGACAAATATCACGGACATAAATGTCCGTGCTTGACAAAGGTTATCATAAGACAAAGGATAAGCATGACAAATATCACGGACATAAATGTCCGTGCTTGACAAAGGTTATCATAAGACAAAGGATAAGCATGACAAATATCACGGACATAAATGTCCGTGCTTGACAAAGGTTATCATAAGACAAAGGATAAGCATGACAAATATCACGGACATAAATGTCCGTGCTTGACAAAGGTTATCATAAGACAAAGGATAAGCATGACAAATATCACGGACATAAATGTCCGTGCTTGACAAAGGTTATCATAAGACAAAGGATAAGCATGACAAATATCACGGACATAAATGTCCGTGCTTGACAAAGGTTATCATAAGACAAAGGATAAGCATGACAAATATCACGGACATAAATGTCTGTGCTTGACAAAGGTTATCATAAGACAAAGGATAAGCATGACAAATATCACGGACATAAATGTCCGTGCTTGACAAAGGTTATCATAAGACAAAGGATAAGCATGACAAATATCACGGACATAAATGTCCGTGCTTGACAAAGGTTATCATAAGACAAAGGATAAGCATGACAAATATCACGGACATAAATGTCCGTGCTTGACAAAGGTTATCATAAGACAAAGGATAAGCATGACAAATATCACGGACATAAATGTCTGTGCTTGACAAAGGTTATCATAAGACAAAGGATAAGCATGACAAATATCACGGACATAAATGTCTGTGCTTGACAAAGGTTATCATAAGACAAAGGATAAGCATGACAAATATCACGGACATAAATGTCTGTTGCTTGACAAAGATTATCATAAATATCACGGACATAAATGTCTGTGCTTGACAAAGATTATCATAAATATCACGGACATAAATGTCTGTGCTTGACAAAGATTATCATAAATATCACGGACATAAATGTCTGTGCTTGACAAAGATTATCACAAATATCATGGACATAAATGTTTGCATTTTCTCATAATTAACCTATTTTGTCAGCGTATGGACATTTGTTTCTATGACACAGCATGACAAGTCAAAGTATATCACGGACATGGGTCAAAACCATGGGCGGACTACGAAGGATATAACCTAGACACTTGAGACATGAAATGCAAGGTTAGAACCTTTGTCGATCGGTCGAATGGGGTGCTTGGCTGGGCGAAGCCCACGGTCAGTTTAGAGTATCATGTGAACCTAGCTGCGGAAAGGATATAAGTGGTCGACAGGGAATAACGTGATATTGACTGCGGAATTGATTATTGGTAGACAACAGGAAATAACGGGATAATGATTGCGGAATTGATTATTAGTGGACAACAGTAGGAATGAAGTTTATTTTTTCAGTAAAGAAATAGGGATGTACACTTCCGGCTATAGGAGAAAGCATGGAGTAATAGTAATTGTAATGAATGACGCAACACTCTTATTGACCACCGAGATGATTAATCTACAAAATAAATCAATCCAGAGAGATAAACAAAATGAACCGGTGAGTTCTGATATGCCTGCTCGTTTTTTCGAAAGTTCTAAAGGGCATAGTTATTTGGTAATCAAAATGATGAACGATGATGAGAATCGTGATCTCGATAATTTTTCTATGATGTTATGTATTATGATTACACGAGATAGGAGAATTGTCATTCCACATATATACTTATTGACGTGTGGTCTCTTTTAGTTCACAAAGAAAACAGATGA